AACTGGCTTATGATATAGCGTACAGGCAGTAATCTTTATGCTATTTCTGATTTCCATAATTAATGAACGTCTTATAATTATAACTGGTAAAAATTTAAGCCAGTCTTTATAAGTATCAGTCACGCGAGATCTGTAAAATGCAAGTACGATCAAATTTGGAATCTTTTATTCCTCGATATAATATCAATGATATTTGTCTTTTATGTGGTAGATGGGATCGATTTGAACGTAAATATTATATGTCTAGTTTACTATTGCCTCCATTTAAAATAAGACTAAAGGCTAGTTTGTAGCAGTGGATTATATAAGGAAACATAGACTTATAATACCTTTGGAGCGGTAGTCTTAGAATTACTGTACGCGTATATCTTGCTTACAAGGCTATCGACATTTAATTTTAGACCGTTTTATTTTGATATACTTTGATGCCACTTTATCTTACTAAAAGCTCTGAAATAAGCCCAAGTAAATATAAACATCTATTCATGATCCACGGGACAGCCAAAACTAGTTATCTGAATTTTCACATTATAGAATGAGTTAGGACGTAGCGGAACATACTAGCCTTAATACTTGATTACTTTATCGTTCGAAATTTGTGGATGACCTAATATTTCATTTATTAACCTAATTTTTCAGTTGCCTACATCGTATATTCTGTCTTATAGACGGGACTCAATTGAGTCTAACTTAAGGTAAATATCGTCAGAGGAAAATCTCAGGGAATTACAGTTAGTAGACAGCAACCCATGGTTAAAACGACAGCGAATACAAATTTGAGAGTTTTGAACCATACAACGGAGAAACAGTCGTATTTTATCGGAATACTCTATTCTATGCTATACCTAGAAATTGAAATACTTGCTAGATATGAGATATTGGAATGTAACCGTTGCTGATAAAAACGACAATACTCCAAATATTTAGGCTATGAGATATTATCAGACTATGGCTCTGATGGAACTGTTTCAATGAATAACCGATATATAACGTCGTAAGAAAGATTAGCGCACACATGTAATTTTCAGCTGAAATGATCGGATAAGGATGGAGGTTGTTAATTAAACGACTGGATTGTATAGCGTAGTCAGGGATGCGAAGAGAATAGGACTACATTGGATATTTACAAATATCATCATTATACTTTAATCACGTCGAAAATATTCACTAATATGGGAGGATCAAAGTTGACAATTAGTTGAAGCTACATGTATTGACCGAGTAACACGCCTCAGAATTATCCGATCAAAGTGTTAATACAATACGAAGAACGTTAATGGATCATTTGATGGATTGTACTGTAGACAATGTCGTGAGGCTAAAGGCAGAAGATGATTTTATAGATCCATAAATACAGTATAAAAACAAGGTGTGAAAGATTGTTAATCACAGTTCGATATTACTGACAGCCAATGGACGCTTGTACGTGAACATTAAAGTAAAACGGTAATCTGCCGTCTGATCATTTCAAATTCTATACTGGCCGTACCAAGACTTCGCAAAGAATCTTTGTATAAGTCGAAGAGGTGGAAAGTTGCCATTAGGACTAATGCGTTGGTAGTATTGATTTAGAATAATTCCAAAGTAAATTATAACTTAATTTGTCTAATTTTTACGTGATAATATCATGGAAATCACATTCTATGATCCAACTTTTTTTTCGAAAGTTATTTAGCAGTAAACGCAAGTTCCCAAAAGTATTTGATAAGAGAAAGTAACTTAGATCTAAATACGGTCAGATTCCTTTCCAATAAAAATCTTTTATGATTACAGCTAGAACACTGTAATTACCAAAAAAAGCGAAAGCTCAGATGGAATAGTGTAAATTAGTACAACAAAAAAGAACATCGGATTATATTGGATGGATCAGATACGGTCTGATCGTATTTCAGAAAAGTTCCATTTCACTCAACTGAATAAATGGTACAAAATCTATCTTACGGCAGGTTACCCACCATCACTCCTGAAAAACACGTCCATCCTGTGGCATTGAGTGGCATGTAGCTAGCTACTGTTTTGATCGGAGAGTGTACTGTTATATTTTATTTTAATAGAATTCGTTGTTTAAGTTAATAATCGCATTAGATAATTTTATTGCCATCATAATCACCCGGTAAAATCCTGTATATACTTAATGGGCAGCTATGAGAGAAATAATAATTACACGTTGATATTATTTTATCAATAATGATGGTTAAGATACTGTTGAAGTATAAGGAAGATCTTATTTTCCATAGGGTCGGAAATTACTAAATGACTATCAAAGGAAACTGAAAGTGGATAAACACATAAGCAGTGGACCTTACGAGATATGTTTCTAGTATTTATAATTTTAAAAGCTGAAAGGTAAGGTTAAGGCCTCGTTTAGAATGGCCTATTATATTTGTGTGCCATAATCTGCTTCGTAGGATTTTATCATTCCGATACTCAATATTTATTCTATTTATAAAAATCGAGGCTGCGCTATATTCTTATTTGAAACTGTTTAGGATTGGAAACATATGCAGTTCTTGTGAAAGGTAATTAAGAAGGGATCAACAGATACCCAACGAGTGGTAGAGGGATTGTGGTGGTAGTAATGAAAATTTTATACTGTATACAGAGAGAAATCAAGTCAAGAACTCGTTTTAGAATATTTTTTCTCTCGTGCGTTATTGTATATCAGAATCGGTTTCGTAGAAAAGTGTTTCTTCGATACCCTATATGTTTGTGTTATTTATAAATATAGAGAAAATAATTATTCTGATTTCAAATTGCGAATCTAATTTATGCTAAATTTGTCGTACATTTCTGATGGTGTAAAATTTATTGTACAACTTAACAATACTTTGCTCCTTCCCTGGTGTGTGCATGTGTCTATGGTCATTTGCCTATAATTTTATTTTACGAATTGATGAAATTTCGATTGGATATTTTATATAGCAATGCCGTTACTCTTTCTTTTCGTGCTGCTTATCAAGATGAAAAATTTATAATGGATACTTAAGTCATTTTAGTTTAACATTACAATTCCCGATACAGCAGTGCTCAAAAGTTTGAAATTGATGAAAGTGTAATTGAGAGACTTAACTAGTGCACGAGTAGAATTTGATCTTACACGTTACTGTAATGGTCGATAAGGTTTTATAGTAATTAGAAGCCAATCTTTACGCCGACTACAGCGATATTTGCGATATATTCCAAATCAGAAAAGCTACATTTTCAATATTGCACCTTGGAATTGATGGTGCAAAATAGTCTAGTTTGTGCCCATAAACGCTAGGCAATAATTGCAAATCCGACGAGATGGACTATCATCTCTATCTTCATTTTTAGTAATGCCAAAGGCTTACGAAATTTGATTACTGTACAGTATATGTCGAGTGAGGTTACAACATCTGCGAATTATAAATATACTATATGCTATGTATGTTATGGCTAAATTAAGCGTAACATACATACCGCAATAACAGATGTAAAATTAAATGATACTAAACTGCATAAATATGTTGGTGGTAGCAGGAAAGGTATGATATATCGTGTGGTTGGACTAGGGGCCACGTTTGGCAATAGGATATCCATGATCCATGCAGATTTCTAAATCAATTTATAAAATATCGAAAATAAAGAGTTTCTAAATATCTTCACGGTTGAAATTGATGACTCTTAAATTATATTGTAGAAATAAAAACATTGAAACAGTTTGATGCTGTCGGTATCTGGTTCAGAAAACGGTAAATTTCTAAAAATCATTTCCTACTAAAACAGCAAACTTCTGAAAATCATTTTCCTACTTCCATCCACAACCCCTAACCCTAACCCCTACTTCCATCCACAACCCCCTCCATCACCCCTATGCGGCGTTCTGCCTTATATACTCTCTTCCAGTCTTCTGTTCAACTTAATTACGTAGATGTTAAAATACTGTACTATATCACCTCGACTATCTGCGTCCATGTCTCAATATGCTTTTGTCACACTTTACTGAGATTACGCAAGTGTTAGCTTGTCTAATTAATATTTTGGCTAGGTTAGCCTAATGTGGAATGATATTTATGACTGTAGAGTACGTGAAATTTTATCACTAGCGTAGAAGTAATTCTTTTACAGTTACTAGTGCAAACTCCCGTCGCTTTGCTGACGGTTTACGATAATGTGCTCATTTAACAGATAGTATTACCATTTGATAGACCTGTCAGACTAACACTCGTTCAAATCTCTTCTTTCACCTTAGTTTTTAACTGTACATATCTCCCTATCATTGAATGAATCTTACTCAGAAATGAATAACACCATATTCTATCCCTCGAATGCTACAAAGTATCAGTCATTGCAAAGTTTTCACATTAATTTCGAAAGCACATGGCTAACTGCATATCAATAATTGTCACAACCACTATAGGTTCTCTAACCACCGTATATGTCTTGCTATGGTCTTCTTTTAATATATTGATAAAACAATCGATTAATTCATTATAACTTTAATATACAGTATTCAATATAGAACCTAACATATCCAATTATCCATACAGCAGTAAGTTCTAGCACATCTACTTAGTCGATTTCCATCAGACATCAAAATACAAACCTCTACTTTATAGTATTAACTGCTAAAGGGAGAGCTCTATGGGCTTTGTCAAGAAGTGGACAGTTGAGCAGTTGTGAGCTGGTTTCCATGGAGTTATTAATAAAGTGGCTGGCTCAGATGCATCGATTTGAGATCCGATCCGATTAATTCCATAGAGTTGACAAATGAGGCAGCTATTAGTTAATTAGAATAATATAATGAATAACAGAGCTATTCTAGTACTCTACAAAACACATTGTATGGAAATAATATTCATAAAAAACAGTTTTTATGAATCCTTCTGCATCGATTTGAGATCCGACCTGGTCGATTTCTGAGGAGTTGACTAATATTATAAATAAAAGCTATTATTCATGCTTTAAAGGCACATCTAGAAAATGATTAAAAATAAAATTGCTTAGACTACTCTTAAGGGAACATTATGTAGGAACAAATGGTCCAAATAGCCGTTCTCCTAAGCTCTGTTAGAAGGTAGACTTAGAGCAGGGCATGATGGAAACGCAGAGAAATGGCGGCAACGAATCCCCAGGCTTAGAGCAGATAATCTGCGCATGCTTCCGCTTGTTATGTCCGTAGTCCAGTGTTCTGTAGCGGTCACAGAATATAGCATTCCTGTATGGCATTATTTGACATACTGCACCACATGTTGTGAGCTATAGTTTGGAGCACTACAGTATCGGACTATATCGGGACTGCATCGTACCAACCTCGTTACTATAGAGAAAGCTGCAGGCCTTTGTCAATTCGAAGCTTGGCAATTTCTCTCCAGCCATTTCCAGTCTAGGTCGTCTCTTGCAGGTAAAAGTTTGATTATCCGACGTGGATAGAGTAATTTCAAGAGTAGCTTGAGCTGAATGAGGTTTTAGTCATGTAGGAGATGATAACGAATTGCAGAATGATCGTCTAATTTGTTCTAGGAGTTAAATTTGAGGCTGAAATCTTGCAGTATTAAATTGTCAATCCAACTCTTGCAGGTCCAATCTTGGCAACTAGTATTTGCATCCTTTGAATTCTGCTAGCCAGTATTAAGTGCTAGAAGTTAGCAGCTTTAGACCCATTTCACAGGTTTATTTTAATTCATTACATTACAATATTCGTATAATTTTGGATCTGATCTTGCTTACTTTTCGTAAATGAATGGACTGCAAATAGTAGCCATTAGCTGCAGCTGAGGGTGATGACAGAGAGTATATGAAATCAACTATTTTCTGCTTAGATTCGTCTTTATGATATTCTAGGTAGTTCTTTCAGGCCAAGAAAAATGTCCAGTTTTCGTAAATTAATCAAAGGAAAAGCATCTCAAAAGAAAATTAATTCGCCTTTAGCAAGATATTCGTATCCTTGCACTTTGGATTAATTCAAAATTAAAATTTCTGTGCAATGTGTCAGGTTGAGTGATAATACTCGTACATGGCAGAGTGTTTAGAAGGAGCCTTGTGCTTAGTTAGTTTAAAACGTTATGGTAACATTATTTTATACCCCCATGCACTAGTAGAATAATTTATACTAGATAGTTAGGTTATATTCGCTATTTGTGTGCCTTAATTTAATTTTCATCAACATAGGCCAGAAGTGAAAACTCATTCTTACTATGCACTTTATTTTTGTTTACCTGACGATGCTTAATGGAAGACGCCAATGGTAGTACTAAAATAACTCAAACTGCATGTACAATTTGTCTGTCATAATGACTTTAATTTTTATCGTTCAAGGGCAACAGGATTGTATTAGATTCCTTATAACAGATTTGATCCATCTATAGGGCACCTAGATGGTTTTCGCTAGAGGACTTAAGCCAATAGGATTGCTGATATGTATACGTAATTTTCACCGCGATTCTCGTACAACGCTTAATGGAAGACCTCAGTACTAGTTCTAGAATCTTTAAATTAGATTTCCTACTTGTGTAGTATGATGAATTTCATTTCCGTTTTCAATGGTTGGATTACCGTACAATATTTGGTAATAAATTTAATCTAGCAATAGACGTTTGAATGCTAGTACAAATAATCATTCATATTAAACATTTTCTCTACCTGACAGTGTTTATTAACTAAAGACTTCGAAGGGTGTACTTGAATATCCTAGCTGTTTTTTCTCTACTTGTGTATCATGCCCACTTTTCGTTTCCATCATCTAAAGCTAGTAATGTTGGATTACAATTATTAACTGCACATTTGATCAATCGATATATTTTTGACGTCCAACAAAGCAATCTTTCGTTTTAGATATTTTTTTACCTGACAGCGCTTTATAGAGTACCTCAATATTATAGCTAACTTAGACTTTACTTACCGTATAACTGAAGTGATAATTACCTTTGACTAAAGGTGGTAAAAAATTTGAAAATTATGCTGTGAAAATACGGTCTGTTCTTCACTTTGCCATAGTTCACGATTTGAATAACTGCAAAATAATATCCTAAACCAGACTAGACCTGCATACCCTACTGTATATTAACAAATTGATAATGCTTCTGTACAGCTATATATTGGCATATTTTGTATGATAATAATCTTCCACATTAAATGATTAACATGAACTGAAAGTTTTACGATCTGCATGACAATATGACATATTAAATATGGTGTAATGATAGTTGCGAATCTCTACTACTAATCTCCATTGCATCTGGAGAGAGACAATTATTGATAATAATTAGAAAAATTTTAGCTTCTATCGACTACTCTAACATTAGCAGGCTATCATCTTGTTATACCTTAATATAAAACAAAATGTAGTAATACTGGCCAGCTATCCTGTGCAATATGTAATTGTAATGTGAAAAATGAATTACTTTGGAATGCTCATATTCAAAGTAAAAAACATAAAGAGGTTAGTAAATCAAAGGATTGCGTTACGATATCACATTTTATATGTTAATGAAAGTCATACTTACAAGCATCATCGTGTATGACAACGACTGCTCTACTGACTATCCTAATTGAATCGATTTAGAGCGTCTTAAACCTTAAAGCACAATCTAATAAAGTGGAAACCAAACATTATGCAGTCAATAAGAAAGTGGTAAGAATCGCATATTCTATATTACTACCTCAATTGAATGCGGCTCAATCACGGCTTTACTTGATACTGTGTGCTGGATGAGTCATGATTTAGGCTTGTATTTCTGTCGCGAAAAGAAAATGTACAGAATTTAATAATACTACATTTTATACATCTATATTTCGCTTCGCAGTAAGTAGCAATAGCAGTGATAAATATCCGAGGCTGACTCTTAACAGCTTAATGCTCTTCCTTCCATTTTGGTAGTCCAATACGAAAAAATAAATTGTTTTGTTTTTCCTGTACAAACTGTTCTGTCGAGGATAAAACATATTATCATCAATTATTTTGCTTTGTCCACGAGGAAAACTTTGTCATGTGAAAGTCAAATTAGCTACTGAACAAATGAATTTACTAACATTTGATTATTCTTTCTGATCTAATACTGTACCAAGGTATCCCAGAATGACGATTCTTCCACTTTTGCAAAACCCACTTTACCCGATAGCAAAAGAAAGGTTGGAAGAACATTTAATTCATGGAAATATTACGCGTTGTATTATAAAACAAGTTTAACCTGACTCTGATTTTCTTATTGTTTACAGCAATCTGTCGGCGATGATGAACAATCTGAGCTAGCTGCAAAAAAGTTAAAAGGTAATACCATATACAACTGCTAGTTAAGGCTTTCGTACTTTGTAAAAGTTGATTGGTCCATATTTTCTCATGTTGACGTATTACTTATATGTTCCATTATTACAGTTGATGAGGAATCAGTTAATAAATCTGAAGGAAATAGGTACAAATTGATAATCTATAAATAAAAAAACATTTAAGTTTTTGTATTGGATTTGATTTAAATTCGGGTAATACAACTTAACTGATGGAGATATTATATCACAACAGCTTGCCTTCCGATTTCTTTGACAGTGGATCAGCGTCTAGTACAAGTACCAATACTACGGAAGAAGCTAAACTTACTGCAAACTCACTTGGTATAGATAAATTTTACGGATGAAAGTGTTGCTGTTTCTTTTATTATTGAAATTTATCGAGGTTGTTATCTTCATGGTAGTTGGAAAATATGATGATGATGAGGAAGACAGTGAGGATGAAGATGAAGAAAATGATTCTGGAAAGAATGAAACTGCAAACGAGCAACAACCGTGAGATTATATATTATATAAACTTTAAGCACAGTTTTAATTGTTTTTATGAACCTTAAACTTATACATTAATTCATAAATTTTTAATGCAATATTTTTTAATCTCTCTTGAAAAGTGTGAAAGGAACTTTGCCCGAAGGGTTTTTCGATGATCCTGTCGTCGATGCAAATGTAATAACTGGGTGTTAAAACTTCCAATAATATATCAATTCGTTAATATCGCTGATGTACCTTTACTTGTAGGTTCGGCATGTTGAATATAAACCAAAGATTGACGTGGAATACGAAAAATTTCAAAAGGAGATTGCTAAGGAAGAGCAGGTATTCATTTTATCATTACCAGATTGAAAATATGTATATCGTAACCTACCTTATTCTTGCATTGATCTGTAAAGAAATCAGATGCTATTGTTGAAGTTGACGACGTAGAGGCGCAACTGGCTCGTGATACTCTGGAAGTTGTGGAACAATTGTAAATATAGTCATTTCTTGGTTGGTAACTTGCTATTGTTTAGAATACTCACACTTAAGCATAATATTTTTAGAGTCTGTGAAGAGAAAATTGATACTCTAAGAAAAGCTCGTGAGATGATGAAAGCCAAGCAACTGGCAGCGGCAAACGCTAGGAAAAAATTGGATAATGATAGCGATGATGACAGTGAGGAAAGTGAAGACGAATTTTTTGATTGGAGAGCAAAGAAGGCATAGCAAGCTGCCTTTACTATTTTGATGGACTTTTATTTTTATTTGATTTATGTATATAGTATAGCATTACAGTATCAACATTTTCAAGTCGTGTGCTTGATTATAAAATATGAATACCTGTGTACAGTTTGGTAATTATTATTTTTAATATTATTCGCATATACAGTAATTACAATGCATTATACCAATTTCAACCTTGACAATATGGTAAAAACTATCTTTGCATTAGCTGCAGGTTTTCAAAAACATACATCAAATTTACAATTCTATGTAAATTATCAAGCTTTGGCAGTATCACTCAATACTTTCATTGTTATTCGTTGTGAATTGAGTCTTACTTGCTTTCCGAAATAAATACTGATAGACTTTAGTTTTTTATGTTATTACCATAGCTTATTAGTCCTGCAGTTGAGAAAATAATCTTCCAAGTGTATTACAATATTGAGAGTTATCTGATCCGCGATGGAAATGCCTTGAAAAAATTGGACGTATTGCACTGTAAAAAGTCATTAGTCATTTGTGTTGGTTATATGCTACTAACGGTAATTTGTTAATGGACCTATAAAATTATACGAACTACTCACTCGGCATTCACTGTAATAATATTATCCTGTATAAAGTGATGTAACAAAGTATCATGGTTTAATTCGGATCAGCAGTGAAAAAATTGTTGACAGACCTTATTAAATTGTAGTTTGGTTGAGGCGATGCTATCCCATCGCTCTCTTGAGATTCCCGCATGTGTTCTTATCCCTAATAATATAAGTTCAGTTGATCGTTTATTTCTGTTTGTTTTGCATTCTTTATATTCCCAATTTGCCTTATTCCACCTTTAGGATTTTAATAAAGGAGTCACTCAATTACTGATGATTAAGCGTGCGTTGCCAATCTTTATTGTACTCGTAGATACATAACTCGTATTAAGGAATAGTTAATCAAAATCAATCATTACTGTCTAGGTCACTATTAGAAATGATGTAGTTACTGTTGCTTATACTTACTTCATTACCATCGCCATCCGATGATTAGGTGATCAATTTTGAAATCATAACGTAACGCTGATATTCAAGTTATGGAAAGATTAAATAACCACGCGCTCCTGGATCAACGCCAATGTCATCAATGTCCAGTAGGATCAATATGCTAACTAATTGTACCCTTGAGATCAATTTTTAAGTCATGGTGTTAAAATACTGTAGATTAAATGATGACTCTAATTTTTACTGAATAGTTTGGCATACTACGTATTGCAACTGTCAGAAGATAGCAATGACCATTCTATAGCAATGGATTAAGGCTTTAAAGCCGAAAAAAGATAAACTACTGGAGACTAACTGGAGAATGGCATCATCATAGATGCACGGTATGACTTTGCTAATTCTATCTACTAGCAAATTATCCGTTTAAATGGACGGCAATATAATCTGTCCAAAATAATATAGTAAAAGAAAACCCATAGCTAGATGATCCTAATATAGGTTCCTACTTTCTAGATAGGTGCGATGCTTCTTCCAATTTTGGAAGATTGGAAATTGCTTTAATTGCTCTTCAAGCTCGAATGAGGTTGTCATTTCAGCTGTCCGGTAGAATTTCATTTTAGTCTAGAGTATTATATTGTAGCCGATTTGTAGACAGCATGAATTGGTTATTTAACGGCTCTATATCGTTATTGCGTTGTAAAACCACAATGATACGACGCCTTGCAATGTCGATCATCAATAAAGACTTTGTCGTTGTTCGATATATCATTTCTAGCTTTCCAATAAGGCGTAGAATCGTCAAATCATTGTTGAATTTGCCACCGGATTACAACTATCTTGCATCTTCCTCTGTCAGTCAACTGACGGATGGTAATTCGATAATTATAATTGTCACTACGGTTGCAATATATTGCTAATAGTGCAACGCGGAGCATTTTCCCGTAATCGCCTTTTAAAGCTTGCACTAAAGTCGTCATTTTAAAGATAAACGAATGGCGAAGTAATAGGCTTGATTAGCCAAATGTGTACAGTAGCCTCCAACTTCGCTATTTTAAAGATAAATCAATGGTGAAGTAAAGTTTTATTAACCAAATAGGTAGTCCTTATAGTGTTGATTTTTGTGGGAAAAGAGATTCAATTTCACTTCCTCAATATTAGCAGGTTCAAACTAGCCGTGGAAAAACTCTTCTGCATCTCAACTCTGCCTTTTATATCTGAACTACGAAAGTGTAAAGAGGCAACTAGCAGAAGAAGCTATTTTGACGGACGATTTGAATTTCATTTACGCATATTTCAACTTTATTTCAAATTGTTTATAATGATGTACCGTAGGTTGGACATTTTTAATCAAGTACTATAGGCTGCCATGAATAGAATCAAAGACGACAAAAGGGAATAAATGGACATCAAAAGCAAAGATGATTGATAATTCTTTAATGGCTTCTATAGCCAACGTCTAAAACATCAGCAAATTCTTTTCTAACGTACAAATAGTAGCAAGTAGGGGGGGGGGGGTCCACGATCTCAATACTAGCCTATGCTAGGTCCTCCGAAAAAATAATTGTTACTGACAATTTTAGTGTCTAATGTCTACGCATGGTGCATCCTCAAGTCCAACAACTTGATTATGCAATATGCTCCGAAACTGGGCTCTTTATTTCTAGCCATATTCTAGGATCAATTTTCAATCCACTACCTGATCATGAAGCAAAGTATTCCCGACAGATAGCAGGCCTGTTCTACTACTAAAGCATCATGCCTTGCGTTTGAGTAGCCTTGGCGACAAGATTAAAATAAATTTATCTTCTTAGAGTAGATCTCCCGACATTGTATAACATTTTAGCCTCAAGCATAGCATATCCAATCAACCCAGTCAGTGCATTCGCTTACGCCTTTACTCATTACTCTTATTTCACCATACAACACTCAAATATGCTTGCAAGTTGCAATACAAACATGATCTTTTTATGATGGTATTGCAGAATGCTGATGATACATATTCCAATCTAAAATGAGAATACTATTGTAGATATCCCAGTAAAAGAGTAAAAAATAGCAATCTATACTTTATCAGCTGATTGCATTTGACAAAGTACAGGATATAATTGTATAATTGTATTGACAAAGTACAGGATATATGAAAAATTTCCTCAATTTGGAGTACAGTTTATTGAAATTATTACCAGTATACAGGCTAAAGACTGACAAACCTTATTTCGTAAAGCCGATTTGTCTTATTCCTACAGTACTTATGGGTTGCGAATGGACGCAAACTCTCAAGATCCATGACAGTGCAAGGTATTTTCCACTATCCTTTGGATGGCTTTTCGTAACTCTTATAGGAATAACGCAAACAAAAACACTGTGGACATTGCTCGTGTAAAAAATGAATAGAAATCATAGACTTAATATTATACTGTATAAAATTGCGTTGATTAGCTTTCGAGAAATGAGTAGGATAAGGTTCATTTGGGTCGTATCGGGATGCCATGATACATGGTGGATGATCACACTCACGAGTGGATAGTTGATGAGTTAAGTTAAGCGAGTGGCCGAGTTCATGGGTGATGATAAACGCATCTTCTAAAGGATTTCGCTTAAACTCTATATATTCCACCGCACGGATAGAATAGGGAAAACCGCATATTTTAAACAAGGATTTTCCAGCAACACTGGAACCGGGGGAATTAGCTTGAAAGCGTGCTGTTGTTGACAAGACTATTATCGCATCGAAAGGAATGTCTGTCGTTTTGTACTTGCGGCGCAAACGACGATTCAACTTTATACTTTGCAATTTAAATGAATCTTTCTTGCTAATCCAATCTTTTTTGGTCCACGAAATGATCTTACCAACGATGACTACCAAATTCAGAGGCTTGTATTCCAATGCAACTCTATTCATGGTACTTAGCACTTCTGGACGTATCTTGCCAAACTTTCGGCGATATTGATTTTTGTACACATCTAGGTCCGATATCACTAAGACTTCCAATTGCGATTTCTCAGCCTGAGAAAGCAGTTTTTTATTTGCAAGCGGGTTCAGTGCTGGAATCATGTCGTTCTTCAATGCTATTTTTCTCCTATCCATCAATCCATTCGGTATTGAATCAAGTTTGCTACTGAATATTTCCTCCTTGATTTCATCATTGATAGAAGCTTTGTAGACAACGTGAATCAAATCGTCTAATGGCTCTATTTCATAACGTTGCCGATCTAGCTGAAAAGTTCCTTCCAGGCCTTTGCAAGCAGAAATTGCCACATAATCATGCAATTGTCTATTCTGACGAACCTGACCATGATAGTAACAAGGTATATGAGGAGAATCATCGTCCCTAAATTCATCGATTAAGTTTGCCCCGGGTACTTGATAACTATGACGAAATTGTTGACTGACTAGATGATCATTACGTTCCAAGTCCAGAATAATACGATTTCCAACATGATCGAAGATTTTTTGGTTACCACTGGCCATTCAATTTCTCCCTTTCAAACATGGCGTGGGATCACCAAGTGATAGTCCAATATGCCACGCGATTTCAAATATCTTACTTGTTGACGGGTTAATTGCATCGACGGAAAGCAATCCGATAATGGCTGTGTTAGCAAATAAATGGTGAACAGTGCAACGTATAACATTTTTCTATGGCAATCTTGAACCCAATAATGTGGCTAATAAGAAGAGCAACGCCTTGTTGCTTCGTGGACGCTAAACTCTCAAAACTAGCCTGCATACAGTGCAGGCGTAGATTTATAAAAAGCAGAAGAATAAAGATTTCGTATGGATAGTTTGTAAGTCTCTCCCCTGCTGGTAGTGGATTGTTTCTAAAGATGACCATGTTATTTCATTGTATGCTAATATTTCAAAGTGTTGCAAATACAATATTTCAATGCAACAATAGTTAAATTATCAATTACCGAATTATTGGCTTTAATTATATGCGTACTCGTATGCGGGTATGTACAGTTATCCTATCTTATCAAGGTCGTATAGTACTATTAAATGTTTGCATTGCTGTTTCTTTTACGACTTGGCGATAGAAATATGGATATACCATTTCAATCGAAGACTCATACTGACCATCGTGAGTTGGAGGGGGGGGGGGGGTAAGATACAGAGATTATTCCTTCATTAACCCTTACAAATATTTCTGTAATACATTGAGAATTCTTGCTCGAATTTGATGGAGATATTAGGTAAGAGTAGAGCTTTAGAGCTCAACCGATTACAATATCGAACGCAGCTGTAAACGTTAGAATAGTTAGATAATTCATGATTATCATGATGGCAGTAGAGAAAGCGATGATAAATTCTTCGATCGGTAGGCAAAAAAGGCATCGGGAAACAGCAATTTTTTCGATACTTACATTCTTTATTGATTCTTGCAAACAGTATAGCATTTACAGTATCTATATTTTCAAGTTGCGTGCTTTACCTGCCGACTTTCGAAATATCCATGCTTGCAAAGTTATATATCAATTTCGTCATTTTACGTCAATTAAGAAATGTCCTTTGATAATTTTAATTCCTTCATCTTCAACTAAAGCTGTATTACTTTCTTCGAACTCTAGCAGATTTATATTCCTATTTAGTATGATAGCCTATTACATTTGCTGTTGAGCAAAATAATCTTCCAAATGTATTACAATATTAGGAATAATCCGATCTAAAATGGATATGCCTTGAAAAGTAGGACGTATGGCACTGTAAAAATGAAGTCATTCGCGTTACATGTACACAACTGATGGTATTGGTTAATAGTAAATGGAATTATACGAGCTACTTACTCGGTATCAATAGTAATAAATTCATCCAGTATTAGGTGATGCAGTAAAGTATCAGGGTTAAACTCAGATTGGCACCGATAAAGCAATTGAAAAACCTTATTGAATTCTAGTTTTGGAGATGCGATGCTATCCCAGCGCTTTCTTGAGATTCCAGCAGGTGTTCTCATGCCTAATAGTATAAGTTCAGTTAATCGTTCCATTTCAGATTGTTTTTGCATTTTTTGTATTCCTAATTTGCCTTGTTCTACCTTTAAAATTTCAATAAAGGAGTCAATATACTACTCATGATCATACATAAGTTTGCTAGTGATTACTATAGCTACGTAACTCGTATTAAGAGTGATTAAAATTAATTACTAACAAAGTCACTATTAGAAATTGCGTAGCTACTGTTGTATGCTTCATTACCATCGTCATCCAATGATTTGGCGATAAACATTGAATCATAGCATAACGTTGATATTCAAGTGATGGAATAATAAGACGACCATGCGCTCCTGGACCAACGCCAATGTAATCATTCGATGTCCAGTAGGATAAATTATGTTGACTAATTGCACCCTTGAGATCAATTAAGTCATCAATGTAACAGATTAAATTACGACTCTAGTTTTTATTTTATTCAACAGTTAACACAATTTGCACTCGATTCAGTTCGAGTTCTGTAGAATCGCACCTGTTTTGCAAAATTGGAAACTTCGTAACGTTGATATCCATAGCGGCGCATAGTGTTGATTGCATTTTCATACATTTGTGCAATTATATCTTCGTCAGGTAGGTGTAAGCTTTGCTGCTGTACTTGCTTGTGTAACTTTGTTCCGCGTTCAAGTGTTAACTGATACAGTGATACATGATTGTCACACATGCTAATGGCCTAAGTGAGGTGTTTAATTTTAAGGTATTAATGAATAATTATTATAAATCATCCATGAAAGTGAAACTAGGATATGGCGAGCGAAGCTATTTCTCTCGTTTATTTGACACGTATGCAGACTGCGACAATACGCTATCACAAATCAAGACTATTAACTATAGTCTATAACCTTTTCCAGCTCTGTAGACCATTCCGGAATTGTCTGATTTGGTCTTGCAAAAATTAAATCGATGGATGTCCTCTTTGGAAAATGAGCTTTAGCGATATCGATAGCTTGTTTAGCTTGTGCAGCGTCGTGATCCCGACCTAAAATTTGTAAATCTTTATCATTGAGTGCCTAGAAAAGGGAGAGGAAGTATTATTATATGCTAACCTGATGGAAACAAATTGAGGCAAATCCTCCATAGTGTAGCATAAGGAACAAGAATTATTCTTATAGATGTAATTTATTTGGTCAATCTTTATCATTGTATGCCTAAAGAAGGGAAAGAAAGTATCCTTCCAGGCTATCTTAATCGAAATAAGCCGAGGCTAATCCAGTACAGTATAGCATAAAGAATAAGAATAGCTGTACTTTATTTTGTAAATCTTTATCACTGTATGCCTATAGATGGGAGAGAAAGTATCATGACATGCTATCCTGATTGAAACCAGCTGAGGCTAATCCTTTATAGTGTAGCATAAAGAATAAGAATAACTATATTTTATTCTGTAAATCTTTATCATCGTGTGCTTAGAGGTGGGGAAGACAGTATCATGATCTGCTATCCTGATTAAAACCCAGCTGTGGCTAATCCTCGATAGCATAGCATAAGGAATAAGAATAGTTCTAATTAATTTGTCACAATCCAACGTCGCAGTAAAATAGATCTTTTAATGTACGACCTTCAATGGTGTGCATACATTAGGACATACATGTACTTTAGCACATTTCAGTATCTAAATTATACGCTTAAGGCTAAGGAATATTATTGTTCTTGCACATACTTGTATGCCAAGGGATAATCGATTAATGCCTGCTTGCTTAAAATGTCCCATTTTTTCCATTTCTGTTGAAGTAGGATTGGCTTCCATAGTAATTTCAATATCATCTCCTAGTGTTGCACATTGGCTGATTGCTGATATCATTCTTTGGATATTGTCAGGCTTACATAAGCTAGGAGTACCTATCACATGACAATATGATCATCAAGGTTTTACAACAAATACGCGAGTTAATTGATAGAGTTGAAGATGATTTTTCGCAGTTAGAACAGTACCTCCACCAAAATAGATCGATTTCACCGTTTTAACATGGCCTAACTGGAGTAATCCTTTCACGGCTCGTATCATGCATTCAGTCATACGATCATGATCGACCAGTTGTTGAACAACCTTGTTGAAATTGCAATAATGGCAATGCTTTTTACAATATGGCCAATGGATGTAGACACCCACTGAATGATGACGGCATTGGATGACGAAAAGAGTGGTGTTAATTCGATCCATGAGGACACTTTTGGACGCGATATTGCCGTTGATGAAGGCCAACTTTGATAGAAAGCGACATGCTTTGCCGCTTGCAGACGTCACAGGAGCGAATCGATGCATGGAATAAATCCGTGAGCCTTTCTATCCGATCGTGCTAATGGGATGAACAACAGCTATGCACGGGGTGGATAGGGGTTAAGATTGAAGAAAGTGCCATGGAGCTAGGGAATGGATACTATAGGTAAGAAAATAGAGGACAGCTTTTTCTCTAATAATTATAATAATAACCTTTGGAGACGATGATCCTCAATCCTCTACCTGCATCTTGCACAATTGAGAATGAACGATGGAGTAAAAGCAGCTTGTCGAGGTTGGCTATCTTGTAGCGAAGTCTGATTTCTACGACACAATTATCTCTACAGTAGCTTTCTATGTATGCAATCCACTTTCAATCTCGAGTTGATCGTCTCCAATGGTGTCTTCCTTTCCGCTAATGATCGTCTTGATCGTAATTCAAGATCGGATATAGGCTCGATGGCGTTGATCGCTAGATGCCAATAAGGTGTTACTAGCCAGCTCGTCGTTTAATTAAGTGGTCGAGATTTGCCTCTATCTCCTTGCAAAAGGATCATGTTTTACGACTCTATATAGTCATAGTAGGTCAGAGAGATACTGTATACTGTTTGCTATACTGCAACTTAAACATGTCATTCTACTCGTAGTTAAACTATTCCTTCAGCGCTATGGCAGAAGGGACGGATGGCAAAATGGCTGGAGCAGCTCGATCTCGCTTTCTCCTCTTAATCTCCTAGCTGTAGACATGTGTAAAACCCTCATCATTAGACTACCATCATCGAAAGAATGAATAAGAGCTAGTGTATTGATTAAAATGGAGAAGCCGATCATTTTGCTGGCCATTTCAACTGCCATGTATACTCTTTCTCGTCAGTACAGCAGACTAAAGTTGCTATGATGGAAATATCTTTCGAAAGATAGAAAGATATTTGAAAGATATCGATATCAATATCTTTTAATATCAGGATATCAATATCGGCCTTGATAACATAATGAATCCATTTCAATAATTTAATTCTTGATAGAAACCAAGAAACGGCCGGATTCTACCAGTTGCCTGCGCCGATGGTTGCGGACACTTGAATGAATTTTATAGCAACGACATGTTGCATTCTTTTTCGATATTCTCATCACAAATTAGATGCTCTTCTTGATTTAATGTTATATCCTATTTTATATGCCCCGCTGCTGTAGTACGTTACAATTAGATTTAAAGGATATGCAAGGAAAAGATACCAAGTAATGAGCTAAGAAACTATTGAAGATGGGGTGTTTGATAATTAATTTAATGATATAGTATAATCAATACAAGCCTGCAATGACCGATTGCTTAGCCGTTGAATGAAGTAGCGCATTTGCATTGGCGATTCTTGTCGGTTCTGATTATACAAATATGTGGAAAGATTAGTATGATATGCGATTGCAGCCATGGACTAATCAATACGGCACTAATACTACACTACAACACATTAAACCTATATTGATGTATATTATTCAAGCACTTTTTAAATATCATTTGCGTTTGAAAATAATTGAGTACCATTGATCACAGATGAATCATCGAATCGTTTCAAGTATTCCCCGTCCAATGCTAGCCAAAATGGCTAATTAGAATGACATACTTATGTAAATTCTTATTCATTTCAAGTTCAACAACAGTCTCTCGTACAGCTACCCATTGGCACTGTCGTTCTAAAACGCCTTCAAACGTAAATGAATTATTCTTATTGATTTTGGAGATTGAGATTGTTTGCACAACAGGCAATGGATAAGCAAGTGATTATGCTTTTCCCGATAGTATACTGTAAAGTAAGCGAAATGAGCGATAGCAAGATGAAATAGGGCACGAAAAATCGCCTATTTTTTGGCTTATAGAGCAAACAATTGCTACTTGCAGAAGCTCTACTGATGTTCAACGCTACTGAAAATTACAAGATGCCATTTCGGTTAATTCAAAAAACATTACCGAAAATCGACAATTTCCTAACAACAGTTTGATTGAATACAACAAGTAGAAGAGAATTAACCTTGTATTATATCTGCAATCTATAATGTTCCTCCATTGGATAGTAATGATTATTTTTCTCAACAATGAAATCTGCTTGCCTTTAAATTTGGCATGTTTTATGACGTTGATTGCAAATGGTAAGGATCACGTTGGGGGTCCGTTGGGGATTGCTAACTAGCTAAGGCGTCGTATCTAACTTTAACGAAACGTAGCTTATAAATAAGGGTGAAAAATCGGTCAAGGAACTCTTTCGAGACTATTGGATAATGATATTGATTTGCAAAAGTGTGAGATTGACACTGTATGAGTATATATTAGATTGTAGATGAACTGGAATCTCAAGATTGTGTTAAGTGTGTATCCGGGTTCAGTAGTTCCAGTAAATATTGTAGCTTGGATATCCTCTCTTGCAGTGGCTAATTACAACATGCACCCACAGACTGAAGATCAGAATTAGTCTGTCATCACTATAAATCAAGGAGGGCGATCAAATTCGTTGCTTTATTCAATATACATCTTCCATGATAGATTATCATTTGTAATCTAAATCTATAGCAAGGACTGTACAGATGTAGATACGATAGGTAATTATAACATTGAAGCGATTACCTCCATTTACTAATTGATTACTAAATTATTCTAGATCCTCTATTAACCATGAATACAAAGATTCTGTTGGTTGCTGCCCTATTATTCACTGCTGCATTGGCCAAAACTGATTTTTCACGAGATGGTCGTAGATTAGAATTGCTGAGGTATTTGTATGAGGTACAAGATAGAGATGATGAAAATAATGATGAAGAAGAGGAATGGCTGGCAAGTTTGAATAACTATGTTATCATTCATTGATTGATAAACCTGAAATTTTTATCCAATTTATAACGAAATGTAATCCATTTTGCTTGAATCTTGTTAACAGATATAATAATTTATAATTCATATTATTGCTGTGTTGTGCAAGTATGGAAGACCGCTAAGATAGTAGGCCATATTGTCAGCTCGTTGTAGTAAATCAAATAATATCAATATAGAATTCAATAATCATTTTAGTTTTTGTTGGCGAATACAGATACAGCACGATATACTAGTATAATGTCAATATATACAAATATGCCTCCTCGTTATCATTCCTCAAATGATGTACAAGCTTACCACACATACTTTAGTCCAATGGAATTATGTCAGATATGCATTTTTACTCGTCACTCTATTTGTTGAATGCAATCTAGACCCTGGTCATTTATTTTACCATACTAAAAGAAATCTATCAATACTTGAAGATTACCATTTTATTGTTTTCTTATATCTCACAAAAATAGCTTGGTTACATTGAAAAGGATTGTATCTGGACGATATTCTAATGTTTCGTCATATTATTGCAAGTTATCATGGCGCAATAAGCACATTATTTTTAACTTATGCCGTGCATCATAAACTTGGTAAATTGAATGCACTATTGCCAATTTGTATTATGAATTCAAAGCAGCAGTTGCGTGATAGTTAAACCAAGACTGAATATCAGCCAATACAGGATACCTTGCAATAATTTTGCTAAAGCTCTGTACTGCCATTTAATGAATTCGATTGAAAGTAAAATGATAGTCATTTCGCAGCTCTAAACATGGAGACACATTTCATGAAGTATCGTGGAGAACGACCATGATGTTAAAATATACGATATTAATTGATCCAATCTCTCTTTTCGTTCTTGTATAGGCTAATGCTAGGACAGTGAAATTAATGAATAACTTTATTAACCTCAAAGTTATGGGAGTGGTATGAATGAGCAGCACTATAATTTTATGCTAACTTTATGACTCGAGGATTTTGCCATCATTTCGATGAATAAATCCCCGTGATCATCAAGTCTTGATCATTTCTCATTTTGTTGATACTATTGCTACGAAATATGGATCTCAAATGGAGCATTATTAACAGCACTCATCTTAAATATGATATTGATGCCTGTTACAGGATAATTCGGAAGTGCATTTCAAAATTAAAATTACCACACAACTCAAACGGCTCAAACAAGCGTATGCCGATCGCATGGTAAATTTATTCCCGTTCTAATGATATAGCATTACATGTTGATCATTATTTCCATTACTACTATCATTATTGCTATAATAATAATTACTGTATTGATTCATTTTATGGTACATTAACGATTTTACTTCCTTTCCTCAACTGTGAAGGGCGTCTCCATTCATTCTTTACGATTTTTGTTCAACGGCCAGCGCATTCTAGATACCACGACTCCCAAGAAGGTACAGCATACTTTACTGTCTAGTCCATGATCTGGTAGATTCGATTTGGTATGGTTTAACTTGGTTTTTTATTTTGCCTTTTTTTCTTTCGGCCATGTGGTCTTGCTGATTCTTCTTGGTTGAATGGATGGCTTAGTTGGGAATGGAAGATGATGATGTCATCGAAGTTTATCAAAATCAGATTCCTGGATGATTTCAATCCACGGCTATATCGTAATGTAGTACACTGATAGCTATCGTTCATATCGTTGTCACTGTCAAGAGTGGATAGTGATCATTTATAGTACCTAATGGAATCTCCGATTACGATACTTTGCGTTGATGTAATTGTACTTTTTACTGTCCTTGTTATTGTGTTGTTAATAGATGATCGATTTTCCCTGTGGCATTCATTTTGATTCTCCACGTCTATAGCAAGTAACGGACAATCCACTTTATAATGTCATGTATGTTAATATACTTTCTTTTATGGCCAGAGTTGTGTTAGGTTCAAACAATACTGAATAAATATGGAAGCAATTATTAGGTTTACAAGAGCAAGATCGAAATGGTTGTTATATATGTTAAATATTATAACTATACTTAGTGAAATAGTCCTAGTGGCAGTCACAATATCCATCAAAATGGCGCACAACGCGGAGGTATTTTCTTCTATCTCTATGGTTGGGTGACCGCAGATGCAGCTCTAGATCTTCTTCAAAATAGCACCTTCTACAGTACTCTAGATCAGAGACCTTTTCTTGTATCTCTATGGTTACATGACCGCGAATGCAACTCTAATTAGACCTTCTTAAAACTAGCACTTATACTGTAGGTCAGAGACCTATCAAAATAGGTGATCGCAGATGCAGCTCTAGATCTTCTTCAAAATAGCACTTCTACAGTACTCTAGATCAGAGACCTGTCAAAATGCTGCACAACACGGAGATATTTTCTTGTATTTCTAAGGTTACGTGACCGCACATGCAGCTCTAATTAAACCTTCTTAAAACTAGCACTTTTACTGTGGGTCACAGACCTACCAAAATATTGCATAACATAGAGATATTTTCTGATTTCCGTATGATGGCGGCTGTAGAAGCTACTCTGTAAGACTTGCTGTAACAATGCTGCACAATATGGAGCTATTTTCTAGTATCTCTTTGGTTGTGCGGCCGTGGAAGCCATTCTACTATTAGCCTTTAGACCTAACATGGACTGCTAGCTAGATCTAGTCGTCTATGGATCTATTTCTGAGCACACTATAATAGCTATTGGCTACAGCTAGAGACAGTACTTTAGGCAACTGCAAATTTGCAAAAATCCTATCTGAATAGACTACAACAAGCTCACACACTCTATAGACTTGCCATTCGAACTACTATTTATATACAATACACAGTTTTTCTTATGACTAGAATTATACTATATGGAATGAATTATAACCACTATAAGGAGGTATTTACCGGCAGGCAGATATGTCTCCTGAACAAGTCCTTACTCAAATTTTTTTTTGAATACCCAAACCTTATTTGCTAAAAATTTAAGCATATAATATAAGACCTACTTGTATGGATTTTTTTGGTTCAGTTACCTCATTAAAATGAGATGATGTTCAACGTATTTATTTTTAAAATTTAAAGCGCCATTAGTTTTTAAAATTGCCTTAGTCTACTGCAGCAAACTCTGGTGAAAGGGGTATTATAGCGAGTTGCTAGTCGAGCTACTGTTTATACTACTTACTTAGAATTGTGTCATGGATGAATTATAACTACTATAAGGAGACATTTACCGGCAGACCTATCTTCTAAATAAATCGCTATTGTAATGCCACTCAATTATTTATTTTATTCTTGAATATTCAAATCGTACTTACTAAAAATTCAAACATTTAATATTATACCTACTTGTATGGATTTTATTTCAAGTTATCAAATTAAAATTAGACGATATTGAACTTATTTATTTATTTTAAGGATTGAAAGCGTCATCCGTTCTAAAATTACCGCCGTTTACTGTAGCAGACTCTCGTGATAGGGGTATTATAACGAGTTGCCATTCGAGCTACTATTTATATATACAATATACAGTTTTTCTTGTAGTAGAAGACTGGAATTGTATCTTGAATAAACTATGACTACTATTCGAAGATATTTTACAGGCCGGCAGACCTATCTTCTGAATAAGTCCTTATAGTAATGCCACTCAATTTTTTATTTTTATTCTTGAATATTTGAAGCGTTTGTAGCGTTTGTACTCAAAATTCAAACATATAGTATTACACTTACTTGTATGGATTTTATTTCAAGTTATCAAATTAAAATTAGACGATATTTAACCTATTTATTTTTAAAGATTGAAAGCGTCATCCGTTATGAAATAGTCGTAGTCTACTGTAGCAAACTCTTATTACGGAGTTAGTATAACGTTTCAATCAGCTGATAGTGTCGCGATTATACCTTTTGTTTGTTATCAATGAGAAACGACACTCGGTATCGACTGAAGTGCGTATACCCACAAGATGACGCAGGAAAGCGTTCAAAAATGGTCTCTGCTCTCATGACATTTCTTGCCAAAAGGGTATGATATCGCGTGGTGGCATTGCAGCTACTATTGATGCACATTATACAGTTATTCTTGTAGTAGAAGACTAGAATTGTATCATTTATAAATGATCATTATGAGTGTAGAAGACGATCAAAAATTGGATCCTTCTTGGTTGGGCTGCCTCGAGTTATTGAGTAGTTGGTTACTCCACCGTCCATTGCCGCTGTCGGAACAACGCTATAGAAATCACTGTCTACTAGCGACCACGAGAGACAGTACCCTGTAGTCTGACCGTAAATGATCTACCATTGCGTAGTGGAGTCTTGAGCTCATTCTGGTTGCAATGAGGTCATCAGCGATCGCAGCCCACTGTTCCGTGCTGTACTGGAGAAGCAATAGAAAAGACTAGCGAGCAATCGATCAACTCATCAACGTGGGTTGCAGCCATCTTGGCTTTGCTGTAGCTCATTAGTATTCTAATTCATGGAAAATGATCATTTCCATCGACTATCCTGTCATTCCTAACCATAGCTGTTGATCATGATAGCTATGCGATTGAAATCGGTGGATATTATTTTAAAATTAGATCGCTATCATTATCATTATTGGCATACACTTATGGCTAAGAATGATTCTTATTATCAAGAGATTTGTATTTGGAGTTTAAATGAGTGGATGGATCGAATGATGCAATGGCGATGTTGTGATTGTACTCAATTATTCGTCCATCAAATGATTGCACAGTATCCAGACGATCATCAAGATAGACGTGGCAAGAATAGCAACGATCATTTTCAAGAATTATTGGATTACTTAAGGCAAGATCAACATTGTAAAATCAAGATGAATTTAATCGATCAGTTGATCGATTGCCCATGGCTTTTAATCCAATGGAGTAAACGTTTATTACCTCATTTGAATACGACTGAACGATTAAATGATGCTATGGCTATCTTATCCACATTAGGTGGTGCTTATTCGGCTTTAGGAGATCAATTAGATCATTTCGTAAGTAAAGATAGATTGGCTAATCCTTTTGATCGCTTGACTCTCCTAGGGCGCTTCTTGATACTGTTAGTCGACAATCATTCATTCTACTGGTAGCGATAGAATACTTGCTAGTTTTTAGACACACTCTTTCCGTCCACTTTACAAGATATTGAAGTATATTGACAGTCAAGACGACAGTATCTCCTCTGTCCTGTGCAATCCATCTTGTATCAACTTATACTTGGTGATTTTCATCCATGTGTGTAGTCTACTGTCGACATCAATAACAGTACAGATTAGCTCAATGAAGACAAGTAGCTTTTGATGTATGTACAGTAGTAGCAGTACAGACGGGCAAGATTAAAATCACGACCGTAGTGATATAATTAATCGACTGGACAACACTACTTGTACGATTGAATATCATATCGACATTACTATACTCTCCATTTGCTGACGCTAATGATTCTTTTTATCCTTTTCTCATCCCTAATAGAGCCTTAAAGCTCAAAGAATTAGCTTAAGACAGCTGTATGTTGCAAAAGCACTTGGTGATCCTACTTTAATAAGCAAGAGTAAGTTGTATCTAGCCTTGAGTTTAATGCAACAACGTCGTTTCACTCGAGCTGAACGCATCATACGTCAGCAATATCGGTTTGCTACTTCTAACCCTCTTTGTAGTGACTACAAACTAATCGATATTTGTCGAGCTTGTTGGTCTAAATTGCTTTATTGTAAAGGTATTGCAACACATAGGGATAGTCAATCTAATTTGGATGACATGGACACTTGTAGCAGTTGATATCAAGGTCTACAATATCGATCAAATCGCTACGACAATCGACGAAATATTGTTGAATAATGTAGTCCGTTGACTTGCTAACTAGTCTTTATTTTCGAATTTTATAACATGTCTACAACGTTAGACATAGCCAACATTATTACTGTATACAAGAGGGAGAAATAAGAAAGATAGTTAAACAACAAAGTATTGCATACAACCTATACAGTTATCGTATAGGAATACCATTTGTGATGATCATAAAATCCGTACAACGTTATTCAACGATAGCATATGACAGTGATATGATAAACTTGTCAATATCAAATAATATCGTCTATGGATGGATATATCAAAAGTCGAAATAGTGTGGAAATTTGTATAATAGCAGCTTTTCAACTAAATTAATAATCTTTCGATTTCTTGTTGTATCGACAAGATTTGAGGCTTTAATTGCGATCCTTCATTGGCCGTTACTGCACAAGCAATTACCGGACGAGTAACGTTGCACGCTCTACCTAAAGCTATAGAATGAAAGAAAATACTTAAATAACAATAACCAAAAATTGAATTATGGACATTAGTTTCAGATCATGATCTATGTTGGCACTGATTCTATCATAAGTACACAATTGTAACATGATTTGAAATATCCAAGAAATGATGTAATAAGAAATTGCATAATCTTAATAGATCAACAAGGTGATTCTTGTACTGTATTAAAAAGACTGTAAAGGCTATTCATTTGCTATCCAATAAATTATTAAATATACCAAATACAGCAACCGAAATCGTTTATTGTAAAAAAATGGGCATCTTGCCAGCCTATTTTTTAATTTATATCAATGGCAAGATGAAATGATAATCTCTGCATTGATTTTCAGAATTGGATGACAATGATCAATAAATTTGAACATCTATAGTGGTGTAATTACTTAATTATTAATACAGATATAATGTTGCTGTAAGACATTCCATGATAGATCAGCCTCTAAAGTATCTTAGCATTGAAACACAAACAAATAACAAAGTTTTTTTAATATCTATAAATAGTAGAAACGTTGAATAACTTGCAGCCCCATCATGCAATCAAGTAATACTGTACATAACTCTTATAACCTGAGCTCAAAACTGTATGACCTACAGCTTTTAAAATAAATATTTCATGTTGAATCGGATTAGATCTGGTTAAGGAAAGCACTCGCACAATCCATTCATTTTCATAACTCATAGTTGTTGAATACAACTGCTAATCACTATGACCTATCATTGTAGTATAGCTATATTGCACTAGTGCTCTATTTCAACATCGTTTACAGTAGCTAAAGAGCACTAGCAAAATACTGCCAATGACGATTACAAGAGATCACCTACATTTTTAAAACTAGAATACAACTACTGCATAATTAACTGGTTATTTTCTATGTTTAGATTCTAATCAAAATGGCTATAATGATAAAGATTAATGGTAATGCATGATTATAAAGGTACAACAACTGCTTCAACAACGATAGAGTATTTAAAGACATTCTTTTATGGCCTATTTCTGGTCAATATACAAAATGGAAGAATTTATCCACATCTTGTTGAATACAATAATATCTACATTAGGTATTGGTGTTGCATGCTAGAAAGGTTAGCTATAAAGTGACTATATTAAAATTACATCATTATAGCTTCAAGTTATAAAAATTAAATCGAGAATGTAACCATTTCGCACAAGTCTGTATTTATACAGGTAAAAGAAATATAAGTAACTCCAATTCGAGCTGGTCAATAATAACACTATCAATCTAATTCAAGATTGCATTGTCGATAGCCAATCTAAATGTGTTTGCAGTACACGTAGTAGGGTTTCTAATGTACATAAACATTAATGTAGCGCCTTCCCAATTGCCATGCAGAGTACTTGTCAGAGATAAATTGACTACTTTATATTTCGATACTTTACTTACTTATTACAAAATAGAACAGTGTTAAGAATGTCAACAAGAACTTGATGTTTGTATTGATGATGAATAGCTTAAGTTCTAAATAATCACTTACCATGTTTGGATTTAACAAATACGTAGGGCACATTCTAAAGGCAAAATGAAAGATATGATTTATTGAAGAAACTTGCAATAATCAAATAATTTACATTGTAGGATACTTTCGACCTCCTAAAGTTTAATATCTTTTCCGTTTTTTTTAAAATTTGGTTCGCATAGCTTAGGTTTAACTACGTTTAGATATTTCCTTTTATGATTATATTGTCTACCGAACCAACCTTATCTTCACATAGCAAGGGTAGATGTAATAAAATCTCCAGTGGCTCTGTATCGGCAGCCATAACGATAAATTCCGAGATACCACGATTTAAGGCTTTGGTTGCTAGTATAGAAAGATAAATTATAATCTACCGTTAACAAGGACACCAGTGCATTATGAAATGTAAAATTAATCATTTTTAATCTTAAATCTGTACCAGATACTAAGCCGTCATGATGCTATAGTAATGTATCTATTAGCCTGCACTAGTAAATAGATTCGATCGATACTACTAGAGGTAATTTTCTTCCCATAGCAAGCTTAAGTTTCTCTTTTAGTCGTAATCGAATAATGCTCTAGATAATATTGAATCTCCTGACTTTGCCTAACCATATACGAGTAAATTGAATGCGACGCCCACTGTCGATGGTGTTTTGTCCCTAGTGAAGCAATTTTATATCCTTGATTCTATCTAAAATCAATTACAAGCAATTTCTCCTATTCTATATAGTCCATCAACTTGATATCACTAAAGCCAGACATGCAAGTCGTGATTAATTCATTTACGATAGCAACTATCAGTACTGATTTCTTTCAATAGAAAACAAGTAGCTGATACCTTGTTAAACTTGCTCGAGCTATTTAGACTGCGTACAGTCCCCTACTTGCACTTACTACCATGACTACATTTATGCATCTGTACATACTGTAGTAGTCCATTAAATGCGATGGCAAATGTCGTCAGCGTGGATTTCTCCTAAGTGAACCAAATTTCTCGTGCTTTCTTATATTCAAAATCCACTACTAGCAATTTATCCGATTATACAGTCTATCAACTTGATCTTTCTAAAATGATGCATACTTAAAGTAGTAAATTGATCGGGATGGAAAACGCAAACGATAATCTCTCATCACTCGCTAGGACTATTGGGATTATGCAACGTTCACTACTTGATGTTACAACAGTATTGTCGTACAATAGTAAATTGAATGCGATGATGAGAAAGTCATTTCTCACACTCAATGAGATCTAAAATTGATTTCTTGCAATGTCTTTTCCTAGTATACTAACTGAGGGATTGATCCATGATACATTGAGTCTCTGCGCTTTCTACACCAATCGAGATATCTGTAATCCATGATTTTAACATGATCCTACTTACTATAGTCATGATGCATCTATCAATAAACGGAGTGTGATCATTCATCTATGAAACAGCAAGTATCTCTACTTCTATACCAATCTACTAATCCGTAATCGATTACTTTGACATGATCCTATTGACTACAATCATGCATGCATTAATAGATTCATGGAAGGTGGAAATTTATCAGTGAAACAACCAGTTTCAACGCTTCTACACTAATCTGCTAATCAGTCATGCAAGCATCTATTTGTACGTCTTTGCTGTTCTACTCCATCTACAATCGATCATATTGATTTTATTGAATATATTGACTACATTCTCTTGACGGGACTACAGGTATAGGCACCTAGAAATACATGATGGCAACAGTCGCAGTTGATTTCCTGCATGAAATCATATCGCCGTGTCTGTTGACTATCAAGCATTTTTACCTTCATTGGCTCCTTTTTTCAGTTGCTTGTAATTGACAGCTTGTTGTACAAGATCTAAAATCTTGATGGTCAATTGCTGATCCGCTAAAGGATAAGCTTTAGGATTAACTTTATCATCCGCCTATGGACCATGATGAAAAAATGACAAACACCATGCAAAGAAGATTAAAATCAAACAGGCAAGCTGTCATGCTACAACAACAGCCTAAAACCGAGCATTACATCATGCTAAACACAATCTAATCAACTCTATCCATGACTCACCATGATCAAATTTCCTTGTATCGATTTTAAAGCTAATGTTAACCAAATGAGAAGTCTGATGGAGTGGAAAATTGCAATGCAATGGCAAAAATCAACGCTGTCAATGGGCTAATTTGCCTTCTTCCAACTGAGCTCCAGTATAGATTTGGCAGGACGCGCGGTGGATGCCAGCAGCAAATCCACGCTGCCTGCTGCAAGGTGGAGGATTGCAGGACGCATGCGTTTAGGAGGGCCAGAGCCCAGGAACCGGAGGCGATAACAGACAGACAGATAGAGACCTTTACGCTCTCTCCGTCGATTTCGTTGTGCAAAATAGGTGTCATCCAACAGCTGCATCATCGAGCTAGAGATGGGTCAAAACGAGGGTTAGGATAGGCCATTTACACACCAGGATGCCTTTTATTCTGTGGGAGCTATGTGCAAAATGAGTTGTCATGGCCACAACCCCTTTCCAATATGGCTAATATCATTCGCTTGATGATGGAGTCCATGACTGTGCTTGCATGCTGGTCCATTTAGGCTTAGCACCCTCTAGTGGAATCTAGTGGAATACACTGAAGGCTTCATGCTCAAATGGTCATCCTTTTCTTCGAGTACAAAGGAGATCTAATTGAAAGATCGCGCAATATCATTTCGCTTACTATTAATTTAGACACACCTGTGCAGTGTGCACCTCATAATTTAATGCAGCCATGACAGAATATTTTATGCATGAATGGCTAAGATGTGTAGCAAAGTCCTAGTAGATCTATTGGAGCAAGATACTGTAAACAGTTATCTAACTCTCTCGTACTACTCATCATCGATCGATCTAGGCTACACTCTCCTTCTCGTATATACGGTATATACTGTACAGTGCGTAGACAATCTAATAGCGTTCATCCTCGAACCTTCACCATGACAAGCCATTTTGCACATAGAGGACTAGTATGGATCATAGGTTCGGCTCGTAATTTAGAATAGTTTCACATGCTACTTTATTAGGGCTACATTGCATCAAGCTGGAAATAGGTCAAAACGAGGGTTAGGATAGGCCATTTACACACCAGGATGCCTTTTATTCTGTGGGAGCTATGTGCAAAATGAGTTGTCATGGCCACAACCCCCTATTCAATATGGCTAATATGATTCGCTTAATGATAGAGTCCATGACTGTACTGATCCATTTAGGCTTAGCACCCTCTAGTGGAATACACTGTAGGCTTTATGCTCAAATGGTCATCCTTTTCTTCGAGTGCAAAGGAGATCTAATTGAAAGATCATGCAATATCATTTCGCTTACTATTAATTTAGATGCATCTGAACAGTGTGCACCTCATAATTTAATGCAGCCATGACAGAATATTTATGCATGAATAGCTGAGATGTGTAGCAAAGTCCTAGTAGATCCATTGGAGCAAGATACTGTAAACAGTTATCTAACTCTCTCGTACTACTCATCATCGATCGATCTAGGCTGCGCAGATCATTTTTCACACTAATTACCAGTATATGTTTACTACAAAATAACTGTTGTCCCTACACTCTCTTTCCATATACGGTATACTGTATACGCGGACAGTGTAATAGCGTTCATCCTCTAACCTTCACCATGACAAGCCATTTTGCATATAGAGGACTAGTATGGATCATAGGTTCGACTCGTAATTTATAATGGTTTCACATGCTACTTATTAGGGCTACATTGCAGCAATGGAAGCTTTCTATAAACTAGAGACTCTACTGTACTCTTGGAGAGGGTCTCTTATGTGCTGTACACAGTGTACAGTACTTGCTTGGCTAATCATTTAACAGGCAGTATCCATGGACATGATTAATGCAGGCGAGTCGACTTTGCAAAACTAGACGTTACTCAGTGAGACTACTTTTCAATCACAGCTATTGCTGACTCGTATAGAAACAAAATCTACTATGCTATAACCTTCAGTTTCTTACTATGCTTGGCATCTGTAGCAGAATGATGCCACCGTCTAAGCCCTGTAGGCGTAGACCATGATATACAGTTCACAAAAGTAAATTTTACGATAACACCGATTCATCCATGATAAGACTTTGCACCTTACGAAGTAAAAAGGGAAATCCACCTTAATCATCCATCCAAAATTGCCAATAAATATAATCGACTAAAAAAATTAAAAATATGTAATATCCAAATAGGACGACGTATAGGTCTGGCGTGTTATTCAATCAAGATTGATTTTATTAATAGTTCTTTAATTTATTGTTCTTTTGACTTGATTCACATTAGAAATGACAATATATAATTGAAAAGAATCATTTAGTCAAAAGTGACAAAATAGGACGACCTCCTTAGAAAGGCTTATTACCATAGATTTGAATATTTGCCGAAACAATAACTAGAAATGCATAGTGCATTAATATTGTGCTAAATAAACAATTAACTTAGTACCAAAAACTATTGAATAGTACCTTGACTACAGTACTAGATAAGTTAGTATAAACTAGTGTACTGTAGTAAAATTAAAAAGAATATCATTAGAGCAATTCCATGGCGTAATGTGTCCATTTACTGCATAGAGAGAATCATCTCCTTTTGTTTTTCACACCAAAGTAGTAATAGCAAGTACAGTAGACAAAGCAATTCGTAACAGTAAAAATTTTGATAAGCAATCAAACATTCAAAAAACTATCTATTAACGCAAAGTGTATAAAATATGCATTTACTATCACTGAACATTGAACGGCTTTCCTATAATCTTCCTCTGTAAATCATCACTTGTTCTATAATAATATATATTTTCAAAGCAAGATTTAACTGCAAATTCCAATTTCTGATTTTTTGGTGTTCAATTATTACTATCTAAATCATCTTTATCATCATCATCGCCATCAGCTGCTAACTGGCCACGACGTCGACCTCCTCTCTCTCGCCTAAATTTCATAAATATGTACATCAGACGATATAATATACCCAAAACGCAGCAAAAAGAATGCGATAAAATAGTTTACTAACCTCATACGAGTTTTCAAAGCATTAATTTCTCTCGTTAGCGCTTCACTCACTTCCATTTGCTCATCTAAATCGCGCTGCATTTTACGCTTCAGAGCTGTTTGTCGACTGGTCTCCTCCTCCTACAGCAAAATAATTTCACCATCAAATCTAGTAACCTCAATACCATCATTAAAGTTAAAGTTATTGTCGTCATTCTACCTACCGCTTCATCCAATTGTCTCTTCATATTTCTTAAGCGTGATGACGCCTTGTCAGCCTAGTTTACGTCAAATCGATTACTATAATGCCCTATTGCATACTACAGTCATAACACCTATTCACCTGCTCTTTGTATTCATCAGCATGCCTCCTTTCCTCTTCCACTTGAATCGTTAATTCTTTCAATCGCTTCTCAGCACGGCGATTATTCTTTTGCAATGACGTTCTCTCTCTAAAGTAACGAGTAGTCATCATGCCGTTAGAAATGATTATCTGACTATAGGGATGGTAGCCATGATAACCTTACCTCGCTTCCGATTCGAGCTGTTCTTCTAAATTATTAATTCTACTCTCCCATGTTTGTGTTAACGCTTTACTCTTTGCCCTGCTACTTGTTTCCAACTCTGAAACTTTAGCTTGTAGATCTTTATTCTAAAATAGTTCAACAATCGTATCAGATTTAAGTTTACATCATCTACCGGTACTATTGCATATTTTAAGTCAGATATTTCCTAACTTGGCGTTCTAGTTGTGTCTTGCCAGCTTCTAATTTCTGAGATACAGACTTTTCTACTGCTAGATCAGAATTGAGTTGCTCCATCTAAAAGAAACCCTTCAGCATTAATAAATGAACACCAAAACAAAAGTTAATTTGGCTAAGATTTTCCCTTATACCTGCATTTGCATTTTCCTATATTTATCTTGCTGTGAAGAGTTTTCAGTCTGCTCATCCTCTAGTTCGTCTTCTAATTCACTAATACGACTTTCTAGTCGTTTCTTTTCATCAGTCCAACTTTGCCTACATGGAGGAGCGTTAAAAGTAGATTAGGTAAGTAATAGAGAAATCATCTATTCATACTCTAGATTTAGATCAACGTACCTCAAGGATGAGGCACTAGCTGAATCTTCGATTAGTTCATCTCTTTCGGCTTCTGCATTTCGTCGTGCTCTCTCAGAGTTAGCAAGTTCCTGTGAGCATAAATGTAATACACCTTGAATAATTCAATAATGCATATTACATACATGATGCAAACTTACTTCTTGCGCTTGTCGTAAGTCACCCTCAGCTGTTCGAAATTTTCTATCCAAATCTCGAGACTGATCATATAATTCCTCTCTGGATACTCTTAATTCATCCAACTCATTTTGCATCTCCTTCACCTGACCCTATAACATAATAAAGTCGTTAGAAATTCGCTACTGACGAACGAAAACAATTACAGTACTGCCATGGTATTTATATATTACCTGAAGCTTCTTGTTTTGGCGTACATCATCATCTCTAGACTTGTTTGCCAATTCTACTTGTGATTCCAATTCCTTTACATCCATTTCCAACTTCTTCTTAGCGCTAACCGCCTGCGAGCGTTGACTACGTTCGTCTTCTACTTCAGTTTCTAATTCCCTGACCTAATATATCACACCATGACCATAAATATTGATCATTATCAGATCAAATAGTACAACATTCTTCAATACCTGTTTTAAAAGTGATCGACGAGCTTCTTCAATTTGTTCATCCCTTTGTGAGACCTCTCTATCTAGGTTTGATTTGGCCGCTTGTAAATTAACCTGTATAATTGATAACAGTTTAGCTCATTAAGTACATTTCTTACACAAGAACATGACTGCTTCAAGAAAATCACTTCAATACCTCTAAGCGTAACTTTCCGTCCTCTGCCAGTTGTAATTCATCTTCAAGCTCTTCTAATTGAGCTTTTAAATCTTCTACATGAGCCGCTAAAGTTTGCTTGGCTTTTTCTAATTCGTGTACCTGTAATGTTATTCAAGTTACGAAAATTACGCTACAAAGTTTCACTCCATAAATATCATTTTATGGTATAGACTTACATTTTTTCCAGCGTCATCTTTGGATTCCATGAGATCATTGATTTCAGCCTAACCAAAACGAAAAACAACATGACTATGACTATAATCGTAACAAATTAACTTTTTTTGCAATTGATTACTCACTTGTTGTTGACGTCTAATTCTTTCGCTATCTTCATGCTGATCTCTTAATTCTTCCAACTCACGTTTAAGTGAAATAATTGTAGTTTCGTTACTTCGAACAGTTTTTTCCGCTGTATCTCTATCGTTAGCAATCATTTCAGATTTACTTCTCTCTTCGGCTAATTGCTATTAAGTATCATTGGCAAGATTAGTAAGAGGCTTATTGTAAAGTTATAAATAACTCGTAGGTTTACCTGATCAAACTTTCGCTGTCTCTTTTCAAGATTAGAAATGGTCGATTTGCCTTTTTCTAAATCGACATTCAAATCATCCACCTAACAAAAGACGTCCAGATTAAAGAAAGGATTATCTTAATAAACGACAAATTCTGCGATATACAGCATCATTAATACCAACCTCGCACTGTAACCTGGTTTTTGCCTTTTCTAACTTTGTATTTGTATTTTTGAGATCATCCAGTGTATTCTGGCATAAATCTAGATCTTTAGCTAATTTTCTTTTAGCATTCTCTGCGTCTTCTAATGCAATTTCACTTTGTTGCAGACTCTTACGTGCATCTGCGAGCTATAACATTGTAAGAAAAATGATTACATAAGCTGAAATTCGGATTTGACAAACAAAAAATTAGTATTTGCTGACAACGCACGCAGTTGAAATACATACTTGTGTAGATTGAGTATTAATTTGACGAGCTAAGTTCTCTTTGTCACTTTCAAGCTCTTCAATCAACTCGCTATGATGAGATAATTTGTTTTCCAATTCTCTGTGTTGCATGCTAATATTTTGCTTTTGCTTTGTTTCATCTTCATACAATTCCTACATATATAAAGTCTATTAATAAAAATATCCACGCAAACATGCTACTAACTGATCAATATCACTTACTTGTAGCTCAGCAATTTGTAACTCTAGTGACTTGGATGTTCGTTCCAATGAGCTAATCTGAGTCTCTGCTTGGACTAATTGAGCGACTGTAGTATCTAATTGAGACTGTAAGAAGAAACGGAATTATTTCCACCAGAAAGATATGCAATAGAGGTAAAACCATATTCTAATAAATTGATGTCGATATTAACCTGCAATTTAGAATTGGTCTGCTCTAAATCTTCAGTTTTTCTTTGTAGTGTTGTATTACGTCCATTTAAATCTGAAACTTGAGATTCCAGCGCTTTCTTTTTTTTTTCTAATTCTGTTTTAGAAGCGTGTAGATCACTGCATTCTGCTTTTACATCAGCTAAACTAGAATCGGCTTGTAATTTATATTTTTCCAGTGACGCTTTCGCCTGTGTAAGCATACCAAAATAATGTATGCATATAAGCAACACTATCTTAACAATCCAAACTGATATTATTGTGCTCACCTTCTTTAATGTTTCAATCTGATTATTCATTTCTTCAATAGTTTCATTATGCTTTTTCTTGGAAAGAGAAACTGCTTCAGCATGAGCAATAGTGTCTTCTTCCAGTACTTTTTTCAAATGTTTCAATTCTTCTTCGCGCTTATTGCGTAGATCTTGCTGTGCAGCAGTGGTATCAAGTGAATCTAATAATTCATTCTTTAAACTTTCCAATTCCTAATAAAATGAAGAAGTTATTATAAAAAAAAGCCACTTTTTAACTTATGAACATTTCCTGATGCATTTTACTTGCAAGTATTTTTGTTGCCATTGCTAACCTCATTTAACTGCCGTTTCTGTTTATCGATCTTGCTTCTAGTATCTCTTTCTGCATCTAAATCTTCCGTTATTTCCTGTAACTGTGATTCCAAGTCACGGCACTTTTTCTCCGCTTTATTTCTAGCGTTTACTTCTTGATCAATTCTATCAGATTATTGTTTAAAAGAAATGGTCATTCCATCGATTGTGTTATCTACTTTTACGCAATATGACAGACGTACTTGGCATTTGCTTGATTTAAATCATTTGAATGTCTTTCAAGTGTATTTTGCAATTCAGTGACCTATTATGAAGACATAACCTAATTTTAATTCATTGTGAAAATCCGATCGTATTCGAAAGTTGTTACCTGAGCTGTCGCATCACTTAATTGATCATTCGTATCTCTGAGATCAGCTTCAAGTTTTCTCTTAATCTTCTCCAAATCTGTGCGCAGCTATAGAAGGAACAACGAGTAAGAGATTTGATTCTTACAAATTTGCTAACAATTTAGTGATCCTACTTCTTGTTCCTTGCGTAATGTATCTTCAGTTTCCTGAAGCTGTGAATCTACTTTCGCTTTTTGACGGTTAAGATGCTTGTGTTTATCCTCCAGCGTTCCAAATGAACTTGTTAACTCTGCAACCTTATCTTCAAGGAACTTTTTATCTTTGCTTAGCTACAATTGAACAATTTGCATTTTATTAAACACATATTAATACGAGTATATCACCTCAATGATCGAAACCTTAGAGTTAGTGTCAGCTTCTTTCATTAAATCGTTTTCAAAAGCAACAATCTTAGAATCAAGGGAAGCCTTTTCCATTTGTAATTTTTGACGTTGCGCTTCCTCCTCTTCTAAGCTATCAACGGATTTACGTGATAAGCATTAGTCGAATAGAGTTGAAATGCTAATGTCTACCTTAAACACTTATAATACCTAGTCTCCAAATCTGAAATGGATTGTAATAACTTTTTTTTCTCCTTTGTCAAGACGTTAACGTTTTCTTCTTCCTCAGCAGCTTTCACCTCAGCATCATGCAACAGTTCTTCTAATTCGTTTTTCTTTATTGATAATCTAATTCGCATCTAGAGGCGTTAGATTAAATTTAATACACGTCAGTATACTGTTGACTTAAAGGATGCGTTTTGCTTCTCGGTCTTACTTCTTCAGCTTCTGCACACAGTTCAGTTTCTGTTTGTAGCTGCTCAGCCAGAATGGATTTTTCTTCCAATACCTACATATCATTTTGTACCATGATAAACAAATCCTATTTCAATCAATTTCTTTTACATGTTTTTATGTCTAACCTTGTTGTAATCGATTTCAAGAATTTGGAGATCGTGTTGGGCTTTTTCAGATTTTTCTCTCACACGTTTAAGCTCATCTTCAACTTGTCTCTTTTCGTCATCTTGACGGGTAACATTTAATAACGGTCTTACCTGGAAATAATCAAGATATTGCTGTGAGTAATTTACTGCTGTAGAACGTTATTTCTATAATTAGCTATGCAATTTTTACCTTGGTATACAATCGCCACCACTGCCAATCGCGGAGTTTCAGATATGCTTGAACATTTCTCTGAATGACCCTAATAGCGTTTGTCTGCTGTACTCTCCTAAGGTACATTCTAAAGTACAAATAAGTAATCATCAATTCAATGAATATTCAATATAACGAATAAAGGTTTTAACTATCTATGAATAATAGTCTTACTTTCTAGCCAAGTTACCACGGCAATATGCTTGAAATCCCGTTATAATAGAAGATAATTTCAAATCACGCTCTTCCTCTAGGCGAGCAAGCGTACCCGCACGAAAGAATAGCTTAGACAGACCGATACGGTAGGAATTGCTTTCTAACTCCAGGACTTCAGTCTATGATAAAAAATAAATGACACGACAATCGATATTTTTAAGTACAGTAGTGAGTGGTTTAATGACAATAACGTATTTTGCAATACTACATCATACCATTTTCTGAACGGCCTTGCGAGCATCCATGAAACCTTTTGGGATAGCTCCAGGGGTTAAGATTTCGTATCTAAGGGAATAAAAAGGTCGAAATTTGATTTAGATAAAGGTATACTTGCAATACACATCTATCTAATTTGTATTTTAACCTTTGTTTAAATTCTTGGAAAGCAATTCTATTGGGGAAACCTTGTCGGCAAATTCTTATGCCCTCTAATACACCATTACAACGTAATTGTTCAAGAACGAGATTGGCTTCAATTTTACCCGGCTATTTCAAAAGGCGACATGAAACGAATCGTATCTCAAATAAGTCTCCATGTACAACACTCTCTAGCATAGTTACATACTACATCAGATTGGAGATTGGTGAGTTACCTTTTTATCATGATTAGGAATAATGCATCTAACAAAGTTTGGACTGGTATTGTTTAGCACCGTCATAAGTCTTGCTAGTTGCTCCTTGTATAATTGTCCAACAGTTCTAAACATTCCTTTTCGTGTTCTAGAGCTTCCGAAGGTGGTATCAGTATTGGTTGCATTCATGCCGACAACATTACCTATTGTAATCATACCACAGACGATGAGATTTTTAAGACATACATTTACTCTTTACGTATATACTAATACTTACTAGAATCTTTCCATAATCCAGCAACGAATCCATCACTGGATTGTTGTAATAATGTAATAACGTTATCATTTAGGGGGTCCATATTCTTCATGAGCCATTGATTGGTGCAATAACTAACCTAAACAAAGAAAGTTTATACCATTTTACTTCATATAGTATCTTTATGAATGAGTTAATAACGTAGAGCATTGACTTTAATAGTTGACGTTACCTTTCCAGCGTAATGAATTAGGCAGAAATCGGCATTTTCTCTAAAGTCGGGCTTGTGATATTTAGGATGATTTTTATGTTGTTTCTCCACTTTGTCAGAAAATGTCTTATCGGTAGCTTTAGGAAACCAACACTCCTCATCTAATAAGGCCAAAATACCTAAAGGCTGTACGTTATTTCCAATAATTGTGAGTTATTATTGCAGATATCGATAATTGTACAGTTGTACAGTATTATTAAACGATACTTATTTACCTTTTCGATGAGGTCAATCGTTGGTTGTAGATCCAGTCCAAAGTCAATAAATTTCCAGTCAATATTTTCTTTACGATATTCTTCCTATAAAAAGATGAATATTTTTATTAGCTTACATTTACGACACACTATCTTTATGACAACAATCTAACCTGTTCCAGGATAAACATTGTATGGTTAAACAATTGTTGTAATTTTTCATTTGTGAAGTTGATGCAAAGTTGCTCAAAGGAATTAAGCTGTAAAAGAATGAATAAAAACAATATTACAGAAAGAATTCAACTACTTCAATTTTCAATCATTGACTGTCTGACCTTGAAAATTTCGAAACCAGCAATATCTAGTATTCCGATGAAGGAGGCCCCTTGCCTTTTTGTACGATCTAAAGTTCGATTTACCCTTGACACCAACCATTTAAAAAGGCGCTTGTATAGGGCTTTGGATAAAGCTTGAACAGCAAAGGAAGCCTACGAATGCATGAACTCAAAGATTGATATTATGTTGTTAATTAATACAGAGTAAGAAATGAAGTTACCTGATCTTTATTTTGCGCTTTAACAACATAGTCTCGTCCAACTTTAACTCTGGGCTTTAACAATGCACGAGTAAAGTCCGTTACGGATACACCAAGTAAGAAGCAAACCTTTTGTGCGACTGTTTAAGAATGCAAAGGATATCCTGTTATAACGCAACTCAGTAGGTAAATTGCCAATTAGTATGGGATACCTACCAGTGTTGTCGGGAAGAGTGGCTTGGTCAGAACTTTTATCTTCATCAAATTTCAAATTGCCCATATGGAGGAGCGATGATAGGATCTTTAGGCTAGCTATATCAATGGGGGGAAAAAAAAGGCACAGTCCATCATTACAACTCTAGTCTATGGCTGATAAAGCAAGAACGTAAGTTTTCGTACAATTAGTGTCTTCATTTGAAATTCCCATAACGGCTATTGCGTTCTGTAAAGAGTCATCATTTTAATAACAAGATTAAAATTCGAGGTATTATAATAGCGATTCAAGTATAAATCCACCAGCTCACCAGAGTGTTTTGAAACTCTTCAGCATCGTCAACTCCAGGAACAACCACTAATTGATTGCTCATATAGTTGTACTTGTCGATTTTTTCCAATAAAAGATCATCTATAAATATCGATCAAACTACTTTAATCAATGATTTGTAGGCCACAGACGAAATGAATGATGTATCATTAACCTTTCATCTCAGGTGTAGCTCCTAGCAGCATTTGATAAAATATATGAAAGTTTCTTTCATCCGGTGCTTGTCGAATGGCTCGAGATTTCTCCAATAAATCTAATGCAAGTTTTAGTACAATAGTTATAATCTATGCAACTCGAAATTAACATCATTACGCCTAACAGAAGCGATTTGACGTACAAGTTTCAATATTAGCTCCAACAATAAAGCCAGCAGCATCGAAATTGATCCGAATAAATTTTCCCTATTACATATGTACAAAGACAGATTAGATCAATCAGTAAAAGTCATTATCTATCGCTTAATAACACACTATCCAAGTAGGGATAAACTGGTTTTATTTTTGAGCTACTTACAAATCGTGACGAATTGTCATTCCTGATGGTCTTTGCATTACCAAATGCTTCCAAGATCGGATTGGCTTCAAGTAATTGAGCTTCCAATTCTCCCTGTTTAATAGGATTATTAATATATGAATTATTCTATTTGTATAAGAAATGGACTACGCTACACCATCATTGCCATCTTTCATTTCTTTGCTAGGAGGATGGTCTACTGTACTAGCATGATTAACATTAGGAAAGTATGCTATTGCATTGATGATACACTATTCCGTCCATTACCTGAACAGGCCCAGCAGAAAAGCTTGAAATGGACATTCGCTTTCCGCCTGTTGAACTACTTTTATTAACACCTTTTATATTGTCGTTTAAAAATAGTAAGTTAAGTTAGTTCTTGCACAACACATTAACTACACCGGTATTGCACATCATAATATACGAGTGCAGTCAAAAGGATTGTTATTTCAGAACCTAACCTTTTGCAGCACCAGCGACTGCAGCTAAATATTGAATGACTTTCTTGGTATTTTCAGTTTTTCCAGCACCAGATTCACCCCTAGGAAATGGAAGTAAAGATGACGTTTATATAAGATTAGATGAGATTGAGAGTTGGTTGATGATCTCCATTTCTGAAATCAATCTATTTGATGTTCCTTACGTGCATAGGATGGATTGATCTTCGCGTTCTGATGTTGATTACAAAATGAAAAGAAAGCCGACATTAATAAATGAAAGTACGCGTCATGATGCAAGGATAGACTTAAGTTTTAACTCTACATGAACGACAATGTCCTACAACAGTCAAGGCAATGACTATACTGTCTATAGCGACTACTATTAAGGCATATGCCATCGATAGCCATCAAGGATGACAAGTGAACACAGTTTACAGACAGTAAGTTCTGCCAACAGCGTCGATATCATGATCATCAAGGATGACTAATATTGACATCGATCGCTTGCTTGTCTATTACCGATGGCTATTGGTAGCAGTGGTCATCTTGCATTTCAATCGCCTAGAAAACCTTAATTTACACTTACCCAAAAGCATACACCTATAAGCTTGATCGGTAATGGCATAAATATGTGGCGGCACTTCATGTCGTTTTTTACTTTTATACAATTCGACGACTTCATCGGTATAAATGGGATAGCGTTTATACGGATTGACCACAACACAAAATAAACCGGAATATGTCTAATGATAGCAAGGTAAAAAGACAATACACAAATTAGCATGGTATTGGAGAAGAGCAATCCAACAGCAATCAATAAGCAATCATAGAGAAAGTTATTTTCCTTGCGTGAACAAAAAGAATCAACACATTCTAAAGTGGAATAATACAAGCTATTATAGAGAAGAAAGAAGCAGGAAAATAGACCGCTGTTAGCGACTGTTTTTAATCCTGCACAGTCAAGGTCTGTGAAATGGCCATGTCTCACTCTGAAATCCGATTCCCCCAATTTTCTTCTTAGGAGAAAGGGAGACGTTAACAAGTAATCAATACTGTTTGGCTTCAACGACTCAAAAGGATTATCAGGATCGTATTGGCGAGGGTTTCTTACGAGCTAATGGTGATCATCCTCGACATCTCTTGACTTGATTTTCCTTTCTTCCCATCAAGACAGAAGAAAACGATCCTTTGCATTGCTTACAACTATACTTTCTAGCTGTCATCTCGGCAAAGCGATCAGATCGCTTAAACGACTAAAATGATCACAACCATCTCTGGACTTGTTGTGTTACTAATGAAACGTATGTTTTCTCATACAACAATTGAATTATTTTGTGTATCTGTTGATGTACTAGTACTAGGATAACATTGCTGATGTCGATGGCAAATGAGGATATTACCAAATCATTGTTAACGTATGTTTAATCATACAACAATTCAATTACTTGGTGTCGATTTGAAAAGTATCAATCATTCTTAACGCATGTTATATCCTACTGCAATTAGATTACTTTGTATCAGTTTGATGAGTATTAGGATAAATATGCTGATGTCGATGGTCCATCGAGAAGGTGGACTAAAATGATTTTAAACGCATATTTTATCCTATCTCAATTCAGTTACTTTTACATTTTGACGAGTAGTCGGATAGCCTTAGTGACGGCGATGGTCAATCAAGAGAGCGCCAATTCATTCTTAACGCATATTTTATCGTATAATAATTGAATTACTTTGGATGAGTTTGATGAGCATTAGGATAATATTTGCTGACGTCGATGGTCAAATTAAGAGATCGCCAAATCATATTGAACGCATGTTTTATCCTCCAACAATTGAATTACTTTGTTTCGGCTTGATGAGTATTAGGATAACATTGACTGATGTCGATGGTCAATCAAGAGGGCGCTAAATCATGTTCAACGTCTATTTTATCCTACAGCAATTCAATCGCTTTAACAATGATTTGTATCCATTTGACGAGTAGAACGACAACATGCTTTGCCGATATCGATGATTAATAGGAGATGAGACAACAATTCAATTAGTTTGTACTTTGGGTACTAGAAATAACATCGCTAACGTCGATGGCCCATGAGGATTTTGCCAAATTATTTTGAAGCATTTGATCATACCGCATTTCAATAACTTTGTAGCTACTAGATGAGCAGGATGATAACATGCTTTGCTGATATCGATGGTCAAGAAGAGATGATACAACCAACAATCCAATGACTTTGTATCGACTGGATGAGTCTAGGATAACACTACTAATGTCGATGACCAATGAGGATATTGCCTACCAAATCATTTTGAAGCCATACACTATTTGATCCTATCCCATTTAACAATTTTGTAACTGGTGGATGATCAATAAAGAGATTGCGAAATCCTATTCAACGTTAACGCGATGAAAAAGAGAGCCTGCTGCTCGCGGTAGGTTGTTCAAAGAATGGCTTGAATGGATCATTTTTCAGCAATCACTTTGTCCTCATCAACAATCCTATGTCTGGAACAATATCGCCATCCCTCAAGGATGGCAATCATTTAAAATCCTACAAATGACAAACTACCCTAGGTAGACACTCTTGGTAGATTTTGCTCATCGTTATCCTAGTCAAGTGATGACGAAATTGTCTGTAAAAAGATTATTTTTCAAATCGGTGTCTACAGGGGTAGGGACTAGGAGAATCTCCTATGTCCTCCTTTCATCCATACAGCAATCGCTTTCCTTCATCATCATTTGCTCCAATCCAATCGGTATTCTATCCCTATCAATTTGATGTCTATTCGAAGAGTGCGTGAAACGATCACTTTGCTCATCATAATCATGGATCTCTACAACGAGTCGTTCTAGAGGTCCATGGCATGCTCATGATTGCATTTGACTGAATGGGATGTCCTCGCTTACTATACGAGCGAGAATTGATTTTCTCGCATGATCAAGTTTCATGATAGGGTTATGCTGGAACGGAACGATTTGATGTCTATTAATAGGTGCCTGAAACGATTATTTTGCTCAGCATGATATGCCTCGATGGACAATCAGTTTGCTCCATCATCCTTTGCATAAAAACCAACAACATCGAATGCTGTTGACGATATCAAGGATTGATTGGTGTGCTAATCTTCTTCGTGTCCAAGCCAATCATTTTGTCGCCATGTCCAATGGCGGCAAACTGTATTTCCGATGCCGATTGGGACTGTTCAAAGTATTCACGATAGCACTAAGTGAATCAATGATGGCGGTCCTTATCCAACCCCTTATATTCTAGTGCCCCATGATGGCTTCCTATTCAACTTTTTAACTTGGCGACCTACTACAGACAATAACGTATGGTGCTACTGTATTCAATTAATTAGTGGGAAAACTGTTTCTAAATCAGCGGCCAAGAATGGGCTGCTCAGCCATCCATCTTTCACGAAATTATTGAGCACAAGTGTAGTTGAATTGGTCTGCACATTTGTTCCAGTCAGTCTCTTTCCCCTTGCTTCTAGGCCTCTATTTTACCTCTTTCTTGTTCAATTCCTTCCTTGATTAATATAACATTCATTGAGTTGATTTTACCAGCAATGATGATGGTCAAGAATCCAATGGAATGGATAGATCCACACTGCAATTCTATTTTCGAACGCGGAGAACAAGAATTGTGCGGCTAATACTCGCTAACTAATGAATCTCAATCCTGTCAGGGAAATGCAACTAGAAAAGTGTGGATATCCTGTTGTATAGTCGCTTTCAGTTTATTGAGTGACAAGAACAGCCATAGCGGAAGCGGCAGCGATGAGTAAAGTCAAGGCCACTTTTCAAGCGAATCCATGATGGATAAAATACAGGTCTAAGATAAAAGGAATGCTGGATCATTCTGGCTATGATATCGAATCGATTGGCTTTGAGAGCTTTGGAATAGCTCACAGTAAACCAATCTACCTTGGTATCCAAGGTTTGTCATTTCGATTGTCGACTCTCCCTCTTTCCCTCATGTCAACTGCATCAGCACTAAAAGTCATCCGTAAGCAAAAAAACAATTTCTTGACCTATCCATCAACATTGCAAATAAGGTGGCCTTGTCTGTGGCATCCAAACAAGGTCAATAACAGTATTTTCTTTACCCTTTAAAAATAACATGGAGGAAAAGTCATGGAGAATGGGGGAGGGAGGAAATGAAAAGTTCTACTTTATCCCTATGATGGATAGCATTCAATCTCGATAATAATTCTGTAATAGGATTGCCACAGAATCAATAGGCTATCATCAAAGTTAGGGCAGTCAAAGTTTAAGCTTGATTATGAACGATGATGGCTAGAAAAAGGCACAACACTTCAACATTGCTAGTCTAAACAAGCAGCATTTTGATCATGGAAAAGAGGCTTTCAAGATCATCCAGTGTACAAGCCCAACAACATGGTCGAAAGATGACTCTATCCATATACGAAGAATAGCCAACAACAAGGCAGTATCGTTATGATGGCTCCATGACTTGAATGGGACAAATTCAAGGGAAATGGTTTTGCACTGCTACTGGCGGTTTGCCTAATGAAGGTTGGAAAAATGTTGCCATTCCCAGTGATGGGAAAATACAGTCGGTAAGCGACCATTTTGACTATCGATGAAGGGACTCCAGGCATCTATTTTCATGTTGCTTTCTACATGCATGATTCAAAGCCATTTCAACAATCGCCATCAGGCGATATGGTCAATGCTATTGGCTAACGAAATGAAAGAGAGGATAAGAGAAATGAAAGGTGAGCGAGAAGATGGCGTTGTTGTTGAGTCAATGGTCGAGAAGTAGCCGAGGGAAGAGTATCCTTTGGAGTTGTGTACGACTGTCAAGTCGTGCCTGGCGCTGTTGTCGTTGCAGTCATGATGGTGTAGGGATGAGAAGAAGGGAAATTCCTTGTTGCAGTTAGCTTAAGCAATTTCCTTTCCTCATCATGACTGTCTGTAAGAGCTATAATGGAAAAGGACGAAGAGAGGCAGCACGAATGATCCTTTCTCATCATCAAAGCAAGTCAAGATGCAAAATTAATAGACTATCGACTGCCTATGGCGATGGAGTAAAGTTGGGCAGCCACACGTAGCGTAGAATGATCCATATCGTTGATAGAAGGGGAAAAGAATGGAAAAGCATGGCAAGTTGGAGCTAAAGCATCAAGATTGGAGAGATCATCTACTCCAAGATTGAATGCATGAAGAAAAAGAAAGCGGCAGACAAAACAAAGAATGGTATTCCAGCGCTTGGAAAAGTCCAAGGCGCTGAATGGGCAACAAGATGTTGGCAAGCACTAAGTGCGTTGAAAAAGTGTAGAAAGAGAGAGAGAGACTGGCAAGGAGAAGAGAAGCGTTAAGCAAGTGTAGACTATCAAGGGAATACACGATCGTGTTGACAATCCTTTCGCGACATGTTGGACTCGATCGTGAAAAGGAGCCATGTTGAAAATGATGGCACTGCAAGGATTCGTTTAAAGTGGATAGAAAGGAAAAGGCGATTTATGGAAAACAAGAGCAAGAAAAGAAACGTCTTGAAAGGGGTGGGAAAAAAAGAAGGAAGGAAGGGGAAAAGAGAAGGAAAAAGCAGACAAAAATATACTCCACCCTTCTTGACTTACATAAATTAATCCGGAAAAATAGCGATCGCGTAAATTATGCAAGACCGAAGCTTCGTTCAAATAAGTTAAATCCGCCATGTCTTCCACCTTGTCGAATTTGGGTGGATTCATCTTTTGAATGTCTTCACGATTAATCGTCGTTGTACGGCCATCATTTAATTGCACAGTCGCTTCATCACCACGTTCACTCTTAATACTGGCTGCCGTAAAACCATGATTATCATCAGGGATCCATACATACTTTTTGGCCATCCATTGCGCTTGGACGGCAGGATCGATAAATGCTCTTTTTTCCACAACAAGATGCTTCAATTCCTTGGCAGAGCTTTTCATCTTGCCTACTTGCTTTTTCCTCTCGTCGCTCTCAACACTTGGATTCAATCACTGAAATGGCACTAATTATCCACTTGTTCAATTCCACTTTCCTCAATCGCCAATTTTCAACGATCAATAACGCTAATGGCTGCAATTTCACGACTAATGGATGGCGCTAGCAAAGAAATTTTTTTCTCAACCAGGCAAGCAAGCAGCCACAAGATTTGCGGCCCTTGAAGAACAGTACTGACACCTAGACGCCAGTGGGTCAAGATATGACCGGTGGAGAGGGGGGGGGGGTTAAAGGTGGGGGCACCAATGGGGGTGCTTGACCAGGTCAGTTTGGTCTTGGTCCAGTACGGTACCACCACTGGCCCACCAAGCAGTAGGGTGTTGTTGTGTATGGTAGCACTCACCGGTGTGGCGACGAGCGGTGCGGGTCCAAGAGGCAGCGATGACAACCCTGATGGTTGACGGATTGCAGTGTGTTTGACGCCTGATGAGGGGAACGTATATACAGTCGTATGCTGCTAGCACATGAATCAATCACCAGACAGGGATAGGCGTGGTATCACTATGGTGGTGTACTTGAAACGCAGTCACAGGAAGCGTGTCGATCAATAGGACAGTCAGTATAACGTAATGCTAGGCGATGTTTCGTCACGTCCATAATGTCCTTTCCGTCCGTGATTACCCCACGTCGCCATGGACTGTCCACGACTGGTTGTCGTCGTCGAGGTACCTCCAGCATTGTCGATGATCCATCCAAGCTCTCTTTCTCTCTCTCTCTCTCCTCTCCTCGATGGTCTAATCTCTTTTAATCAGCATGCTGATGGATTACAAGGATGAGCAGCTGCCATCATCCAGGTCAAAATAGGCTTCTTTCAACTCGGAATAGTGGACATGAATGGACACCAGGTCCTGTCGAGGTTGCACTTTCTGTACACAACACATGAGCTGATGGACGAAGAGAGGGGCTACAGGGTAGACAAATCCGTTCAGGCTTTCTTTTTTAACTTCGTGGGGCTAATCTCTTGTAACAGCATGCTGATGGATTACAAGCATGAGCAGCTGCCATCATCCAGGTCAAAATAGGCTTCTTTCAACTCGGAATAGTGGACATGAATGGACACCAGGTCCTGTCGAGGTTGCACTTTCTGTACACAACACATGAGCTGATGGACGAAGAGAGGGGCTACGGGGTAGACAAATCCGTTCAGGCTTTCTTTTTTAACTTCGTGGGGCTAATCTCTTGTAACAGCATGCTGATGGATTACAAGCAAGAGCAACTTCCAGCATCCTGGTCAAAATAAGCTTCTTTCAACTCTATGCCTTACAGTGGCATGGAATAGTGGACATGAATGGACACCAGGTCCTATCGAGGTTGCACTTTCTGTACACAACACATGAGCTGATGGACGAAGAGAGGGGCTACGGGTAGACAAATCCGTTCAGGCTTTCTTTTTGAACTTCGTGGGGCTAATCTCTTGTAACAGCATGCTGATGGATTACAAGCATGAGCAGCTGCCATCATCCAGGTCAAAATAGGCTTCTTTCAACTCTATACCTTACAGTGGCGTGGAATAGTGGACAGGAATGGACACCAGGTCCTGTTGAGGTTGCACTTTCTGTACACAACACATGAGCTGATAGGCGAAGAGAGGGGCTACGGGGCAGACAAATCCGTCCAGGCTTCTTAACTTCATGGGGCTAATCTCTTGTAACAGCATGCTGATGGATTACAAGGATGAGCAACTTCCAGCATCCTGGTCAAAATAAGCTTCTTTCAACTCTATGCCTTACAGTGGCATGGAATCGTGGACAGGAATGGACACCAGGTCCTATCGAGGTTGCACTTTCAGTGCACAACACATCAACTGATAGGCGAAGAGAGGGGCTACGGGAAAGACAAATCCGTCCAGGCTTTCTTTCTTAACTGCATGGGGCTAATCTCTTGTAACAGCATAGTGATGGGTTACAAGGATGAGCAACTTCCATCAATTAGCGAGGTCAAAATACACTTCTTTTTACCTCTATGCCTTGCAGTGGCATGGAACACATGAGCTTATACGCGAAGAGAGACCCTGAGGTAGACGAATTCGTCCAGGCTTTCTTACTTACCTTCATGCGGCTTATCTCTTGCAACAACATGCTGATGGATTACAAGGATGAGTAATTTCCATGATCGAGGTCAAAATACACTTCTTTTACCTTTATGCCTTACAGTGGCATAGAATATTGCACATCAATTGAGACCTGTCGAGGTTGAAGTTTCAGGACATAGCACATTAGCTTATGCTACTAGTAGAGAGGGATGATGGATTAGAATGATTGCCATTTTCCATCATACAGGTAAAAAATACTCTCTTTTTTAACTGTATGCGGCCTTGCAGTGGCATGGAATGCATACGCATAATGCACAAGAATTGACGCCAGTCGAGATGCAGTTTCAGCATGCAACGCATACGCGTCTACCGGGTAGACGAATCCCTCCAGGCTTTCTCTCTTACCTTCATCGGCAAATCTCCTACAATACCATACTAATGGATTAGAATGATCGCCATCTTCTATCGTACAGGTTAAAAATACTCTTATTTACCTCCATACCGTCGAGGCTTTCTCTCTGACCTCGATGAGCCAATCTCTTGCAACACCATCCTGATGGTTTTGAATGATCGCAGTTTCATTACTCAACGCCTTTACTGTATTATACATACGCGAATATTTTGTCCATATTGAAATACACCACATATACAACATTCAAGCTTCGATGGGAGCACCACTGGCCTACTTTCAAATAACATTCAAACATGATTCATTGAACGGAATACATGTTAGTCTGTACGTCTATAGACGCGTCGATTCCCTCGTGCAATGCCCAAAATCTAGTATCCTGTCCGCATTGATATACATGCAGTATTGCGTAGACGAGTACGTACAATTTCAGATAATGAATGGACCTTCCTTGATCCATTGCGAAGTAGATAGAAATCAGCCTGTATTGATACTATAACTACAAAAATAGTAAGCCAAAGCATCGATCACTCATCCAATTTCATTCTCATACCGGTACACTTTCAGAAATTGGATGTTGAATCTTTCTTGATGACTTCTAAAGTAGATAGGCATCACCCTGTATACTGATACTGTAACTGCATGAGGAATAGACTAAAAGCATCGATCTCTGATCCAATTTCATTCTCATACCGAAACACTTTCAGAAACTGAATATTGGATCTTTCTTGATTAATTCTAAAGTAGATAGACATCATCAGGCATGGATACTACAATTACAACAGGAGTAGACAAAAAAAACATCGATCGATGATCCAATTTCACTCTCATACTGAAACACTTTCAGAAATGGAATATTGGATCTTTCTTGCTCCATTCTAAAGTAGATAGACATCATCGTGCATGGATACTGTATACTGCAATTGCAAGAGGAGTAGACAAAAAATATCGATCGATGATCCAATTTCATTCTCATATTGGGACACTTTCAGAAATTGAATAGGGAACCTTTAAAGCTTGATCAATTCTAAAGCAGATCGACATCATCAGGCATTGATACTACTGTACAATTGCAATAGGAGTAGACCAACCGATGGCCATGCTCACTTTTATAACCGGTAATAACAAATGTTATCACAGAGTCAATCCATGAAAACTACTCCATGGATAAGTACATAGAAGGGGGCAGGTTTTTACGTTATACGAGTACAATACCTAGTGTAGGACATCAGCATGTATAAACTAGAGAAAATTATCTGTCACTAGGCACTTAATCACAAATACATTCTGTACGAGTACCTGTACACTCTTCAACATACTGGATCAGCTATGATATTGGCGTACAGCAGGCTGTAAAATAGAAAACGTCTCTTCCCTAGCGTCAAGTTACAAGAGGATATCAAAATTTCTTTATTTCCAAATTATCAGTTTACTGAGATACGGGTTAAGTGTTCTAAAGAGTAGCTAGCTACAACGACATGTATGATGTACTATCCACTAATGTAAATGCACATAACACACTTCATTTTTGAAGCAAATTCAATTAAAGAAAAATGTCTGTCTGGGGAAAGAGCAGTATAGAGACTGAATTGTTGCTCTGTATTTTAGCGAGTCTTATACAGTTTTTAGATAGCTACCCCATGATCCATACTGTAGTCTAGTCTAAGAGGCTAAAATTAGATAGCATGCGTTCATTAGCCATGGAGATAAAGTACAAATCATTATCATTTGAACACTGTGAATAAGACGTAGTATAACGAAGCTTAAACACTGGATAATCAATTATATCAATGCATACGAATAGAATAATGTTCTAGCATATAGACTATTGCAACAAAACGATTGGAAATATTCGTTGTAGCATCACATTTATGTTATATAATACAAATACCAAAGCACTATGGAGCATCGAATCTTTCTAGTTCGACAATATTACAGCAATTTTTCTTACGTTACTAAAGACAAGAAATTTGTAAAGCGATACTGCCGGCCTTATCCGAGTTCATACTGAATGTACAATACACTGAGAAGTTTCCATTAATTATATCAAATCATCAATGGCTATCAATAGAATTTTACTGCAATGATGACACCAAAACATTATAACAGAGACGCTACAACAACGCCAACACTTTCATGCAATCATTATCAAAATTACCTGCCATGTCCATCTCTCATGCGCGTACGCACAGTACGTACATAATTTTATATTAGATCATCGATATCATGATCAATTGATACGATTTAAAGATACAATTGAAAATGATCATTAGCAATACAATTAAGTAATGACTCAAAACTGGCATCAATTTTAAATGTAACAAATGTTATTCAATGAGTCTATAAAACAACATTTAAAATTAATATGGACTTGATGTAGATGGAAGCCCAATCTTAAATTGTAAAAGATAAATATTATCGGTTGTACCTACAAGGATACTTTACAAGGCTTGAATACCGTCATTGGAATTCTATTAACATGCACTGCAGATATTGTGACGCAAATATCGCCAAAGGATACCCATTCCCATCTTTACCATCATTTCAGTATAATGCAAAAGGATTAAATAGTGGTTATATAATTGGATGGAAAGGTTCCCACTTGCCCATTACATTTTCCTTTCCACCAATGTTCATCATCTTTCGATAGTACAGTTATGATATCACCTCGATTAAAAGGTAACTCACCACTTTCTAGCGGTTCAAAGTCATATAAGGCTTTAACCTATTATGAGTAACATCACTTATTATCAAAATGTTCAATTACTGAAAATGGCTGTTGATATCGTTATGAAGCATTACCTGCGCTATTCCGGTATCCGATACAGAAAGTGGATCTTTAAGGAATATTGATTGTGATCGACTAATGGAAGATGTCGTATGATATCGAACGAGTTCATTCAAGGAATCAAACTTTACTACCCACAAGAAATACTTTCCACTGCCGTCACGTAAGACTTTAAAATGCTGAACATCTTCACTGTATCTATCAACATGAAATTCAATGTTAAATCAAGGAAAGGCTCATTCAGGCAGCGAATACGCAAGTTGCCTTTTAACTTTACGATAATACTATAATATGATTATATAGGTAATCCAAGCAAATGATACTTACTTCACAGATAGGGAAAAATCACCTAAAAGTATTCACATTGGCAATGGCAATTACAATTGGTGAGAAAAATAATAGAGTGTCAAAAGTTTGATATAGTAGCAATATAGTTACAACAAAAAAATGTATAATCTATATTTTTATGCAATAGCATCTATTTAGCCTATTTATCATGACTCTATTATTACTCCTGTGGTTAGTGAGGTTAATAATTAATAAGCTATAACAAGACACAATGAACTTATCATGCTGGCTCATTCTAATCACAATACATGAAAAATATAAATTGCTACTACACATGATTCATAAATAACCTGGCGAGCTTTCACTTTCCCGAACTAGGAAACAACCATCGTTACGGTCATTTAACAATCGTATAGCTGCGGCACGAGTTATTTTTCCGTGATACCAACTAAGAGTATGATAGGCAAGAAAGAGAAAGAGATATTAATGCATAGCTTATATTACTCATTACTACGACAATGAGAACGATTTGATACAGTGATGCCAATGTATTAAAGTATGCGTAAAAGGTAAATTTCCGTCTAATAATATTGGTACGTTGATATCGACGTGTACCACTACCAAGGTCTCCATATTATTTTCTACTTTTGTTTGTCCATCAGAATAACTCTTTTTGCAAGACAGTCCATATAGTACAGTACATAAAACATGAACTCTTTCTTTCTACAGTTGTATACTTTAAAGTTCAATAACGGCATGTCGATCATCAACCGATATGACGTTTGGAATGAATGTCATAGCCATCAGAATGACTCTCAAAAAGTATATACAACGTTCACTGTATATTGAATTTGAGCAAATAGGGCTATCCTGTCGTAAATGATATTGCAAAAACTAACCTACGAAATAAATGCCAACTCTCGAATGCTTTATTGCTTACTAACAACGCAGTCAGACATGCTATACGTATAGTATGTTACATTTAAAATGACAGTGAACTTAACCAATGATTCATTTCAATTATTCTATGTTACATCAACTTACTGTAGAATTAATTGTACAGTCTATGTAAGACCAATCGTATCTTGGCGATATTGCAATCCTTACCTTCAAATACGAAGGTCATCGATGACATTATTATTATTAACTGTAGAAATATGCAACATTTAAAATGGCAGTGGACTTAGCCAATGATTGATTTCAACTATTCTAGGTTACATTCAGTTACTTTGGAATTGTGCAGTTTTTCAAAGACCAATCGTATCTTGGTGATATTGCAATCCTTAACTTCAAATACGAAGGTCATCGATGACATTATTATTATTAACTGTAGAAATATTATCTATTGCCATGGAAAAACAGGCATGGCAGCGCATACAGTAGCACTACAAATATGTAGACATTATCTACCGCTGATTGCTACTATCAATAACGCTCTTGATGATTCATTTATTGTCTTACATTACTTTATACATCGATTTCTCCATGATATCTCTACTTTCTTTAATTAAGGACTAATAAGTGTCTACCAATTTATACTTACGGATGGGGTCTCAGTTTAATATAATTTTTAGGAATAAAGCCATACAGTCCATTTAATCCTGCTTTATACCAATTCTTATCCAGATCCATGCTGACAATCTGATTTTAATTTCATCATAAAATAAAAGAATATATTAAAATCAATCAATGTATAACAAAGAATCAGATCTTGTACACTTTGGACACAGCGTTATATATTAATAAGAATTAATTATTTGACCAATTTTCGAGAATAGCACGTGATAGAATGGAATAAGATTGATTTCAATTTTCAATTTTTTACGAAAAGTGATTTCTAATTATGCTTATTTTCTTATTTTAAAAGATTGATACAGTAGTCTGAAATACATATTTTTAGAAAGGGTAGCCATGGTTTACAGATTGCAATCAATTAGGATTAGGAACTTTTGCTAATGAACAGCTTAACCGAACCTTTCTCAGGTCTCGTAGCCACGTCACATCAATTGTTCTCAAGTGGATCATAAATAAAAAATAATTGCATCGTACGATAAAATCACTATTGCGAAATCATTGATGACCCACTGCCGTTCCTGTCTGATAGCAATTTGGAGATTTACTGAGGCTATCTAGGTTAACGTTGTCATTAAAAACAGATACTGGCAATCCACCACTACACATTCAAAAGTTACAAATTGAAAAAAGTTTACAAAGTGAGGATAATGATCATCCTTGTTTGCATGAATCTTTTGCAATATTGATGCTGCTCATACTTTAGATCATTTTTTTTCTGCACTAATCCGATTGATCCTTTTTCCAACCAATCTCTTTGAATATCCTATACTTACCATTCTTTTTAATGTAGAATATACACTAGAATGTTACATTAATATTGTCACTTAGGAATATCATTTTAAATGGAGTGAAATTGGGTCATTGGGGTTTTAATCATCTCATATTGGCGATGATTAGTACAGTATTTAAACGTAGACGATGTCATCGCGTATTGATCAAGAATGATTTTTTCAGCCTAAGCATGTTCGACGGTCATTGTCAAACTTCGAGAGGGTCCTTTCAAATCAGGGACTTCTAAGAGGAAATTTTTCTACGAATCCCTGTCCAAATGGACATCACCTATCGCATTACTATTGTGGGTTGTGAGATTTTGCTGATGTTGCACTTTATTAATTCAATGACTTTCAATTTGAACGTCCATTTGAGAGAGAGAGTGCTGTTGGAACTTGTGAGTGTTGACAATAGTCGTTATTCATCACAGTATCTATACTACACAAAATGTTGAAATATAATACTATAATTAATTCAATTATTCATTTTAATAATAAGTCGTTGAAAAAAGGCATGAGGATGAATTTAGCGTTCTTCATCTTCTTTATCCTTACGTTCATACACGTGTAAAAGTTGGAATAATTTTCTTCCCTTTGAATAGTCAACAAGTCTATTATGTAAGGCTATTTCGAGCCACTACACCAACTTAATATGATCAAGTGCACGTTGTGTTGGACTAAATTAACTCTTGTATAATCCATTGCCTAAAATAAACCATCAATCACAATAATACGCACGTAATCCAAGTAAAGTATTTCTATCCAAGATTGTATATCATTACCGTTGGGTAACACTGGCAGCCATTTTACTTTTTCAATTACTGTGGTATAAAAAATATAAACTATCCATTTTTTGCTTTTGGTACTGTTATGATGACTGTGCTTTCGTGTTTGTAAGTTAAGCAGATTCTATCAAGAATAATATTGCACTACCGTAATTACTGGTCATTATCCGTTACCACGACAGTTTACTAGTATGCCAATACTTGGCTATAGTCCTTGGCAGTTAGCGTTTGTTGTTCTACAAGCGGAAATAAGTGGAAGTACTCTTCAAGCACAATTTGGATTTATTCAACAGCAAGTCCAATCGACCGACAGTCGTATATCGCCTTGTCAAGCTTTGTTGACAAGAGTCAAAGCGAATTCATTCTTAATCGTGCGCTTTATGCGTCCATGTTGGGCAGTTGAAAAAATCGATCATGACTAAATAAATCTATTTTGCATTATTTTGTATACTATATAGGAGAATTCTCGCTGACTGTGAGGCCATAGAAGACCATCAGCCTTGTTCTCTGTTGTGTCGAAAAAAGAGCAATCTTGTCTTCTCGTTGCCCTATCACACTGAGTGCGGTAAGCTAGTTGTTTACTTTCAAGCTAACGATAGCTGCATTTTCAGTATTTGATAACTGTTGAGCATAAAGACGGAAGGAATAATAAGAAGGATTTTCTTGATGACACACAACACTGTATTATAACATTGATTTCAACGAGGAGTATTCGACTCGATCCAATCCACTCGTCCATATCGAGTTTATCCGATTCCGTCGTCCACGATTGCTTGATTGTATTAGCTTGGGATGAAGGCCCATTTCCCCGCTACACCGATCCCCATTTTACTCATGACTACCGCGGTAATGGATGAAAATGGAGCCAAAACAGCTCATCGATCGCAATAATAAGGAATGAAAGCAAATTTGCCTTACCTTGAGGATGTCACCTTTCTGAAAGGATAATTCATCGTCTGCAGTGGCAGAAAAATCATGCAACGCGTCTGCTTCCATCTGCCTGATTAAGACTTGTATCGCTGACGACGAAAGCGTAATCGATTGAACCGACAAAAAGACTCCAATCAAGTTGAATTCAACGACGATAGAGAGGAAATTTCTCTTCTTTGACGAGCTGCCAACACTGGTTGAACCTATAGCAAGATTTTTTTCCAATCAAAGTGGACGAGGCCTTCGTTGAACGTTTGCAAGCACGTTGAAAAAAAAAAAACTTTCTTCTCTTTCCTGCCAAGAATTTTATGCGTTTGCTGGACTCCGTCTCCTGTCTACTGCTGCTTTCACCACTGTCCTCAGTCCAATCGCCTGGTTAACGCTACAGTACAGAGTCTACAGTACGACAGACTCCAGTCCAGGAAGAAAAGTACTGAACGGTTATTCCCTCGGATGGACGGATATTGCGTCTTCGGATGTTCCAATAGGCACGGTTGTAAACACCTGCCATGGTGAATCATGATAATATTAGTATGGGCCGGATACTCCCTCCATTCCCCAAATGGATATCTTTTTCTTGACTGAAATCATCGAACAATGTATGCTATGTTGTATTTTGCTCTATTGTACCTCAAAGTAGTGCTATTGATTTCTTTTCAATGAGTCATAGAGTGATTCAGAAAACAGACACAGTAGGAGATGCATATCCAGTCTGCGCTATTTTAGTTCAATGCGTTGGTCAAAAGTCAGTCCACAGCGACTACTCAAGTACGGAGCTCGGGCATAGACTTCAGTATTGAAAGTCTGAAACTGGCTGACATTGATTCCAATTGGGTCTACTGATACAGTACAGTACAATCATCCACTGCATACTAGAAGTAGTAGACTGTAGTCCATAGTGCAATGTCCTTATAATGAATTAGAAATGATTATAGATGATAGAATTAGAATTAGAAATGCAGATTTGGCAGTGCAATGTCCTTTTAATGAATGCTACTTTGGGCAGTACTGTACTGTATTGTAGTCTGTAGACGGTGATCCACATTGGGACTGTACAATGTCCTTTTAATGCAGCTATGCGTAATCGAAGAATGTCAAAATGGACAGTGACAATGCAATGTAAAACGGATCGACTGGTTCAAAAAGCAATCCATCAAGAAAACGCTCTATATTAAATCCATCCCAAAAATGGGTATACAGGCACTGTGTAGGTTCTAGATGGAGATCTAGAAGCGCAGCAGAGTGGTAGACAAGGATTTAGGAGATACTACGACCTTTATTGAAAGCGCCATTATTAGGCTTCCATGGCGTAGCTCCGTAACAACTGTACACTGTACACTGTACACTGTACAGTCAGGAATGCGATACGCGGTAATGATGCACATGCGTAATACAAGCCAAATAATCCAATGGAACAATATACAGTACACAGTATACAGTACACTACTGTACTAGACAGTATGTCATCTACAGTACACTACAAGGTCTCGTTCAATCCGACCAAAAATACGCGACGGGACGGGACAGAAGTACACCGGTGAAGTGCCCATACGCAATAGCAATGCTACTAAATGGTAGTCTCGGCTAGAAATGGCGTTCTCTCTTCTTAGTCACTGTACAGTAAATAAATAGTCTTTGATCAGGGACGCCAGCTGAAAAAATTGCACACCAAAAGCCAAAAAGTCGCTACGGTGTCAAATACCCAAATATCCCAGTTGATAAAAACCTTTTAGTAATTTGGGACGAAATTTTCTCTCTAGGCGTCCTCGCCCACCAGTGCAGTCGTACTTGTAGACAACAAAAAATGGAAAAAAAGAAACGCTAGAATTCATTGAAGTGAACGATATATAATGAAAACACCAATGACTCAAAAAATGGACTGCTCACTTCTATACTTTCCACTCAAACAAATGACTATATCCTACCTATGCTTGACTGTATTTATCTGATCTGTTCACACTCATGTATTAGACTATAACACAACGATCATCAACCAATCCATCCGTCAAGGATCAACTGCAGGGGCTCTAATTTCATTCAGCCACAATCCTGCAACTGCTCAAGAGAAATGCGCAATGCAAGAGTATTTCGAGTAGATGATCATCAAGTTTACTTATCCTTCGAGTACAGTAGTCCATGGTACAATGGCAAAACACTACCATCATTCTACTGTACAGTTGATTTAAGAATACTTGACAGAAACGATTGCTACTACTGCTACAATGATAAAAGATAACCTACTGTACTGGTCTTATGAATAACGTGTACATTGCTGCACTATAAAATAAACTCTGTAGGCGGTGAAGTCATCATCTCTCAGTACATATTCATTTTCAACTTTGATGATTATACTAATCTAATTTATTTCAATTTTTTCCTCTTGTGCATAACTCGCTACATTAATCATGAACAGGCTTGATATGACATGCAAGCAAGTTGATTGGATTCAATAAAGTGATCATTAAATCAATCAATCAATACCACCTTGCCTGAATGCGCAAATACAGAATAGGAAGGGGAAAAATGGCAGAAGCCCTCATATATTGCAAATTTCATCAAGGCATTAGCAAAAACAACGTTTGCATTTAGCGTACAAATCAGTTTTTCTATAGCACAACGGAATGGAGATATCGTTTTTAAATCATTATCACTTTTGTTACCAACTTTAATCCATTTTATGCGCATTACGCGTATATTCATACAACTATGGATAGCGTTAAACGAGGGTATCATGCATTTAAAAGTGAGTCATGGTTGTTCATTAGGCAGCGCAGGTTTGCGATGACTTCTTGTTATCCTTCGCTGAAATGCTCAACGTTGATATTGCGAAGAAAAAGATAGGATTGGTATTTTACCCGATCAGAAGAGATCAGAAAATTTACGATGTACTACGCCTCTTTTCTTGGCTATATCGCGCTCACTTTCTTCGTTAATGCATTTGAAAATATCATCAACCATATGACTTAAAGGAGCGCGGAAAGTGCTTTTATCGGTAACCGTAACTTCATCGCCATAGACATTTTCTTCATTGCAAAGTAGCTGTAAATCTTCTCGTGAGACGCATCTGTATTGGATTAAGTCCGTTTTATTACCCAACACTATTATTGCACAATCGTTCTCTTTTCGAACGCTTTTAATTTCTTGTACCAACATTTTAGCAATATTGAATGATTCAAGCCTATCCACACTGTACATGATTATAAAGCCAGCGCATTGATCGATAAAATGTCGAGGTAATCGCTTGTGATGATAAGAGATGTTGCTTCCAGCTGTATCCAGTAACTTCAATTTAATTTTATCCACGGATAGAGATGATGCTACGTGTAAAATATAACTATCTTCCAGGGTAGGTTCATATTTCGTATTGATATCGTAGTAACCTTGAGTTAACAAGTGTATCATTGCAGTTTTACCAACTTTTTCATCGCCAATGACGCATACATCACTCCAACCCTTTATCAACGTTGGCGATCTCGACATTTCAGTAGGCTACTAGTCCAACTTTTCTTCTTCAAATGTGGATTTCAAATAAAGATAAAACTTTGTAAATCAATAAAAGCCAATACTGTACATTAGCAGTTTCTACCAAAGCAAAAACTTTACGGCTGTTTGATTATAATGACTCTACCGTACTTAATTCTCTTGTGCCAGACTAGTATACATACACAATCGCATAGTGTGCATCATATTATAGACTTTTTGATCAAGTGAGCCCTTGTGATGAATACGGCACTGTGCAATTATGGAATGATTAAAGGCATGCACTGTGCATACCCATGTACTTTTCATCGATACCATATACGGCCCACAAATTTCGCCATTCTCATGTTACCTACCGTATACTGTCATGAGAATACGTTGAAATTTGGTTTGCCGCAGTTACGACATAACCACTTTTTTTAATACGCTTTACCATCATGAACGAGATGTAGCTATAAGGATGAGAATTTAAAGAATCGTTCAATATCTTAACATAGTACTACGGGCATGCGATAAGTAAAGGTAGGAAAAATTGATAGCTATAAATACAGAGTTGCTAATTGACATCTGTATTAAGTAAATAAGAAGACACCTACAAATACTGTTCATCACTGAGCGAAATTGCTGCTACAGTGCATTGCAGAAAGCCATTTGGTACCCTACTACAGAATGCAAACGTTCGCTTCTCTCAAGTCGAACAGCATATGATTGTAGTATAGAGACGTGATTCGTGAAAAAAAAGTTTACTGATATTTCACACACCATGGATACGAGTATAGCATGGTATTGCATATCGTGCACATTTTAACAGCATATGATTGTAGTATAGAGATGTGATTCGTGAAAAAAATTTTACTGATATTTCACACACCATGGATACGAGTATGGCATGGTATTGCATATCGTGCACATTTTATCGTCACAGATGAGAGTTGGTGTTAATGGGCAATCAAACACTAGTTGCATCAGCAGTAAATATTTCCCAAAATTTCCATGATAATAAATACAAAATCGTTGTAGGTACAGACTAAAACCACTACTGAAAGGATTTCGTATATGCAGATTATGTACTGCAGGAATGAATTAATTAAACAGTACACAAAGGTACGAAATTGATAGTAACGCTTACTAAATTATACACCACCTGACAGCATCGTACTATTAAATTGTGTAAGACTAAAATATAAACTAGCCCATTCATTTTCTTTACAGACGATAAGCAAAGTTCATACAATGTATAATTTGTGCCCAATTTCTAACCTGTGCTGTAGGAGACGACAACAGCAGTTGTGTTTATTAACAAATATACTCATATATGCGTATACATATATAATACATTACAGTACTATTCTAGATATCATTTTAAAGCTATTAATGATTTAAGTCAGAGTTAGTTTAGTAATTATAGAAAACAATTACTGTATTGGCGATATTACAATGTAAGTCATACTGGATTATGATGGTCGAAATGAAAACACAAATTAACATCAGGAGACAGGAGTAAATGCTCCAAGCCGCATTCTAATCGAACAAGTTTAAAATAACCATTTTACATTTTACGTCATACATCGACACATTAACAGCCTCCTAAGTAAACTTTGTGCTCTCCACCTCAAACAACAAGGTAGACCAATAATTGTAACAGGCTTAAATCGTCAGGTTATACAGTTAGAGCAATTGCTTAATCTCTGACAGGTATCATAAGGTACCAACAGAAGGCAGGTAGTGATTCGAATTAGCCCTCGAGCACCTTGTCATGCATTATCACATGTTGTATATTGCGTCATCGCCAGCTGGATAAGCAGAGGTTCTCAGTGTATTTACAATACGAATGGCGTACATATGATGAATATACAAAGACAATGCAATGACACTGCTAGCGAATCGCTGCAAAACTTACTTTGCATTTAAGGGCATGCAAAGTCGTATAAATAGAAAATAGCCTTGTTAATAAAAAAACTCCAGCGGAATTCTTATATTGTGCAGTAAACTATGTTACATTACTGTAATGTATACCTTATGTTGATTCTGTTATTTAAAGTAATCATTTCCTGCGAATCACTTCACCTGAAATACCTATTTCACTTACAGCTGTGATAGCCAACACAAAACATAATACTCCTATTTTGACCATGTTATCGAAATTAAAGACTGTAAAAAGAGTAATGATATACCATAGCTAATATCATAATAACGTCATTGGTTATACTATCTCAGCATTTATGGGCTATCAATGCTTATGATCTCTACGTTTATGATGTAACCTATAGTCTAACTTGTACAGATTACAATAACACAATACGAAGCATAACTCTAAATTCCGTTGACGAGCTATCAATGTATAAGCTTCAACTTTTCCTTCCAAGATTCGTTAATACAACAAGTTTCTAGCTTCCTAGGAACGCCAATAAATTAAAAGAAGCGTAAACTCAAATACAAAATAGCTTGTGTATAAATATGCTTTCGATTATTATTACTAAAGTCTTCATAGATTAAAATCAGTATACGAGATATCAATATATATACGGTATAAACAACGTATTGAGTTGCATACCCGATAGTCCTTTTCTTTTCTTAGAGAGTACCTCAGATGTTTTACTTCAATATTAAACAAATAGCACATTACAAATTAGATAACGTATTATTCAAGATACATAATTCTATTCTCAATTGCCACTTAGAAAGTAGTTATGATCAAAAATGTCCTTTTCAACTTCAACTACTGGCAATGAGGATGCATCGCTAATATTTATGTAATAAATAGCCAGTTAACAGCTGAATCAATTTGCAATTTTTATCGGGTGATAACATAACTTTTATTATCTAAAATCGTTGACTGTAGATAAAATCGCTATAATAAACGCAGAAATGGACTAATCAATACCTATTTGAAACTTCATTATGCCCATAGTCGCTCGATGCGGTCTGCTTGTCATCAGGATTTAAATCAACATCGCCAATAGTAGTGACAGTAACGAAATGGTCAGGATAATTATAAGTTACAGGCGTACTGTCATCGTTTTCTTCTTCAGCTGTTAAGATAGATGAAATCATTGCTCCAGTTATAATGTGAATCAGTAGACATATCATTGTATATCAAACTGACTAATCATTGCCTAATAATATGAGGAAATGTTGCTACTAAAGAAATCGGTTTCTATTTTTAAAATTGACGAATGATTTCCAATTTAGCCAGATTAGCTGGTATACTTATAGACACCAATACTTACCCTTAATTATTTCATTGATGCGTTGCTCACGCTCATGAAGTTTTTGTTCCAATTCCTTTTTCTTCTGCAAGAGCAAATGGTAAAGCAATCTGTTAGGCAATTTAAACTCATCCTCAAGTAATGTTATCAACATGGTTTAAACATGGGGTGAATGTACACTAGTACAGTGACTATGAGTATATTGTACTATCTTTGCTGTCATGTACAAATTATGGATAATGAAATAATGGTTGAGTACTTTTTGTTTGGCATTTCTAATGCAATCTTTCTTTAATTTTTCCTCCTGCTCTTTAGCCTTCTTTCGTCGCATGTTCTTACGTTTTCTAAATCCCGTTAAATAGTCCCTGTTATATAAATATGCGTAAAAGGAATTCAAGTTGATGTTTAATTTTCAATAGCAGATGCCATTCATTCATTATATTATGACTATTTTATGAAACTATAGGCTAATGATAAAATTGACTCGAACTTAATTTATTCATAAGTGGACTAGTACTGCCTCAACAGATCATGTGGTAGCAATCATTAACACGGAATAAAAGTATCGAGATTTATAAAGCGTGCATCTTGTATACGTCTAGTGCAAGCGCATGGTACTTTGTAAGGACAAGAGTTCATCGAGATTGCATTGCTATGATTGCGAAATAAAGGAAATTACTGCACTGGCAGTCCCTTATTCTCGTCCTTTCGTTGACTTGGTGCCATTAGCAATACACCTATGCATCTTTGATAACTGGGCTAGCTACTTATCAGTAGTAGTGTAGTATGACTCCTTAAGTACTCGTAGATTTATGAAAAATAGATGATCTATTAATTGCACAGTTGCATTGAACTGCATTGCAATTTGCTGTATGCTATACTGTAACAAGCTAATTAGTCTTTACAAGTACGTTCGGTACATTACTGCTCGTAATTTGTCTATTACCTATGGTATGTACTGTACATACGTAGATGGAAGTAAAGAGCACTGACCTGCGAGAGTCTTCATCAAAAGTGAGGATCAGTTTATCTCTCTTACTTTTTTTACTTTTACCCTTCATCGTTATCGAATTATTCTCTGCACGTTGGCCGTCAATAGAAGCAGCTCGAGCTAACAAGATGCAGATTATCTATCGGTCACCGTAACATACTGTACAGACAGTACAGTACAGTACAGTACAAAGAAAGAGTTCGTTGATGGAAGAGGATGAATGCTGTAGCTTGTAGTCATACAGTACACAAGACTGACTGTCACGAATACAAGAAAAGAAAAATGTACAGTACTACGCAGTACAGTACAGTATACTGTAGTACTGTACACTGTACAGTACAGTAGGCCCAGCCATAATAACCCCGATTACTCAGATACTCGGCGTATTTGAATAATTGGATGAAATTTGAGGTACAGACTCCTAGAATAATGTATCTCAGATACTCAGTATATTTGAATAATCGCATGAAATTTGAGGTACAGATTCCTAGAATAATGTATCTCAGATACTCAGCGTATTTGCATAATCGCATGAAATTTGAGGTACAGACTCCTAGAATAATGTATCTCAGATACTCAGTATATTTGAATAATCGCATGAAATTTGAGGTACAGACTCCAAGAATAATGTATCATCGTTTAACCTAGAATAATGTATCTCAGATACTCAGCGTATTTGAATAATCGCATGAAATTTGAGGTACAGACTCGTAGAATAATGTATCTCAGATACTCAGTATATTTGAATAATCGCATGAAATTTGAGATACAGATTCCTAGAATAATGTATCTCAGATACTCAGCGTATTTGAATAATCGCATGAAATTTGAGGTACAGACTCCTAGAATAATGTATCTCAGATACTCAGTATATTTGAATAATCGCATGAAATTTGAGATACAGATTCCTAGAATAATGTATCTCAGATACTCGGCGTATTTGAATAATCGCATGAAATTTGAGGTACAGACTCCTAGAATAATGTATCATCGTTTAACCTAGAATAATGTATCTCAGATACTCAGCGTATTTGAATAATCGCATGCAATTTGAGGTACAGATTCCTAGAATAATGTATCTCAGATACTCAGTATATTTGAATAATCGCATGAAATTTGAGGTACAGACTCCTAGAATAATGTATCTCAGATACTCAGTATATTTGAATAATCGCATGAAATTTGAGATACAGATTCCTAGAATAATGTATCTCAGATACTCGGCGTATTTGAATAATCGCATGAAATTTGAGGTACAGACTCCTAGAATAATGTATCATCGTTTAACCTAGAATAATGTATCTCAGATACTCAGCGTATTTGAATAATCGCATGCAATTTGAGGTACAGACTCGTAGAATAATGTATCTCAGATACTCAGTATATTTGAATAATCGCATGAAATTTGAGGTACAGACTCCTAGAACAATGTATCTCAGATACTCAGCGTATTTGAATAATCGCATGAAATTTGAGGTACTGACTTCTAGAATAATGTATCATCGTTTAAGCTATTTACGCTGAGTATCTGAGTAATCGGGGTTATAATGACTTGGCCTACTGTCGTTTCTACTGAAAAAGAAAAAGTATTGTACATACTTCACAGTACAGTTGACACTCACACTGCTCAGGTCTTACAGTACAGTATTGTACTATACAGTACAATGTACTATACTGTACAGAGAATAGTGAACAGTAGAGACCCTCTAGTGAACAGTAGATACTGTACAGTACAGTAATTGTTGGAAAAAAATCAATAAAATCAAAATCAAAAATTATTATAATACTGTACAGTAATTATAAACTGTAAATGACTGAATTGAGTATCCGCCGATTCCGCTTATTACATACGAAATGAGACGATTTTC